CAAATCATGTGGAACTGCCATTATTTTATTCTCTAGGGTGTCTGATTTCAGAAAATATATCATGTATGGGGGTCTTGTGTAATCTTCAGGCCGAAATTAATCTTTTAAGCGTGTACAAAAAAAATATATGCAAAAACGGCTCTGGCAGTGAAAGGGTTAAAGTAGACCTGTTGTGAAATTACTATTGTTGTTGTCCCCTACCAGAAAATGCTAGTTGCCTGGCTTCTATGGAGACCCTTTTGTTCAGTGCTTTGAGTCTCTGATCTGGAACAAGTATGCAGAAAAGGAGTGTTCATACCAACTTCCCAACTTTTTTTTTTTTGGGACTCAGAACCAAAGCTAGATAGACTTTACTGTATTAGAAATTATTTTATATCACATATAAATACTGGTTTTATACATTCTATTTTCCAAGACAGGTTTAAGTTCAATCAGACATTTTTTTTAATATGTTTCCAGAAGGCAAAGAATAAAAACTACAAGAATACAAGTGAAGTAGAGAACTAGGGGGCCCCCTACTGGATTGTGGAGTAAAGTACAGTATTTATTGAAATGGAAAGATTTTAGAGTGGAGTACAGCAAACATTGTATCTTTTTTTTTTTTTTTTGCAAAATCTGTGACAGAAGATTCTGTAAACAAATAAATAAAATAGCTAACCCAGTGCTTTATCTAGGTTAGAGTGTGTTTCAGACTAGATTCACACACCTTTACGTGTCAGGAAACGCGCACAAAATTGCATGTTTTCACTGCCCTTTAGCTGATGCATGGCAGTACCATTAGTTGTTAATGGCACTCCCTTACATCCGCTATGTAGTTCAGTGCAGTACATTTTTGGAAAAGCATCAGGGGCTTCTTTTTCACCGTATTCTCTACACACAATGTACGACAACGCATGGAAAATGCACCAAAGCAATGCAACCAAAGCATATCACCCAAACCTCGCACGACCTCCTACTCTCTAGCTCCCTTGTCTCCTCCTCACATGCTCGTCTCCAGGACTTCTCCAGAGCTTTCCCCATCCTCTGGAACTCTCTACCCCAATTTATCAGACTATCGCCTACTCTGCTCACTTTTACTGCAAACTATCTCTTCAGGGAAGCCTATCCGCCTTCAGCTAATACTGGAATCTTCTACTCTTCCAACCAGTCCATCCCCCACAATTACTACCTTTTGTACCACTAGCCCCTCCCTCCTAGATTGTAAGCTCCAAGGAGCAGGGCCCTCCTATCCCTCTTGTATTGAACTGTATTGTTGCTGTATTGTCTCCCGTTATATTGTAAAGCGCTGAGCAAACTGCTGGCGCTATATAAATCCTGTATAATAATAATAATGTGTTTGGTCACACCTGTAGGTGTAAACCTAGCCTTAGGTAGGATTTTTTTTTTTAAGTTTTTTATTTAGAGTCAGTTCCCGTTAGGCCGATCATTAAGATGGATTGAAAATTTTGATCTATCTATAGGTAGGCTGGTTGTGCTGAAGTTGATCCATCAATTGACTTCAGTACAACCGACCTGTCGGGTTTTTTTTCGCTCGATCACTGCTGGCGGCTATAATGGACCTTAAAGTGTTACTAAACCCCGGACCCAGCACTCACTATATCTGGTCTCCCGGGACCCTGCATTTACTATATCTGGTCTCCCCGGACCCTGCACTCACTATATCTGGTCTCCCGGGACCCTGCATTTACTATATCTGGTCTCCCAGGACCTGCATTCACTATATCTGGTCTCCCAGGACCCTGCATCACTATATCTGGTCTCCAGTACCCTGCATTCAGTCTCCCAGGACTCTGCACTCACTATATCTGGTCTCCCGGGACCCTGCATTTACTATATCTGGTCTCCCCGGACCCTGCACTCACTATATCTGGTCTCCCAGGACCCTGCATTTACTATATCTGGTCTCCCTGGACCCTGCATTCACTATATCTGGTCTCCCAGGACCCTGCATTCACTATATCTGGTCTCCCAGACCCTGCATTCTCTATATCTAGTCTCCCTGGACCACTCTGCACTCACTATATCTGGTCTCCCAGGACCCTGCATCCACTATATCTGGTCCCCAGGACCTGCATTCACTATATCTGGTCTCCCAGGACCCTGCATCCACTATATCTGGTCTCCCAGGACCTGCATTCACTATATCTGGTCTCCCAGGACCCTGCATTCACTATATCTGGTCTCCCAGGACCCCGTATTCACTATATCTGGTCTCCCCGGACCCTGCACTCACTCTATCTGGTCTCCCGGGACCCTGCATTCACTATATCTGGTCTCCCCGGACCCTGCATTCACTATATCTGGTCTCCCAGGACCCTGCATTCACTATATCTGGTCTCCCCGGACCCTGCATTCACTATATCTGGTCTCCCCGGACCCTGCATTCACTATATCTGGTCTCCCAGGACCCTGCATTCTCTATATCTGGTCTCCCAGGACTCTGCACTCACTATATCTGGTCTCCCAGGACCCCGCATTCACTATATCTGGTCTCCCAGGACCCTGCATTCACTATATCTGGTCTCCCAGGACCCGCATTCACTATATCTGGTCTCCCCGGACCCTGCACTCACTATATCTGGTCTCCCGGGACCCCGCATTTACTATATCTGGTCTCCCATATCTGGTCTCCCCCGGACCCCGCATTCACTATATCTGGTCTCCCTGGACCCTGCATTTACTATATCTGGTCTCCCAGGACCCTGCACTCACTATATCTGGTCTCCCAGGACCCTGCATTCACTATATCTGGTCTCCCAGGACCCTGCACTCACTATAACTTGGTCTCCCGGACCCTGCATTCACTATATCTGGTCTCCCGGACCCTGCATTCACTATATCCGGTCTCCCCGGACCCTGCATTCACTATATCTGGTCTCCCCGGACCCTGCATTCACTATATCTGGTCTCCCCCGACCCTGCATTCACTATATCTGGTCTCCCAGGACCCTACATTCACTTTATCTGGTCTCCCCAGGATTCTGCATTTACTATATCTGGTCTCCCAGGATTCTGCCTATCTGGTCTCCCCACCCTTCACTATATCTGGTCTCCCAGGATTCTGCATTTACTATATCTGGTCTCCCAGGACCCTGCATTCACTATATCTGGTCTCCCCGGACCCTGCATTCACTATATCTGGTCTCCCAGGACCCTGTATTCACTATATCTGGTCTCCCAGGACCCTGTATTCACTATATCTGCTCTCCCAGGACCCTGCATTCACTATACCTTATCTCCCCGGACCCTGCATTCACTATATCTGGTCTCCCAGGACCCCCTCACATCTGGTCTCCCACCCTGCTCACTATATCTGGTCTCCCTGGACCCTGCATTCACTATAGCTGGTCTCCCCGGACCCTGCATTCACTATATCCGGTCCCCCACAGTACACACAACATGGAAATGCAATTATTTTAGTAAATATAAACTGCTAAATACCTTTTCTTATCAGCAGTTAGAGCAGTCTTGTGACTTCTGTGTCCAGCAAAGCATTGGTTAAAGCTTGTAGGAGGAGTTTTCATTTTGCTCTACGAGGATGCAGGACCCCTGACCCTCTGTCTGGACAGTGCTGATTGGACCTGGGATGATCACATGCACTCTCCCAAGAAAAAAACAAACACAACAAAACTCTCTAGCAATACACACCAAACTGAGCATGTGCAGAATGGCTACGGTTCAGTCTGTCTTATCAGGAGATAAGACGTGGACATTTGAACAAGAGGAGGGGCAGAGAAGACAGGATCAAACAGCATTTTTACACAATGCAGAGGATTAACCCTTTAGATTCCACAGCGAGTATAACATGCGTGCTGATCGCATGCTCACTCCCAAGAAAAAAAAAAACCTCTCTAGCAATACACACTAAAGTGAGCATGTGCAGCTTGATCCCAAGGCTCTGTTCTATCAGCAGATTGGGGACAGTAGAAGGGGAGGATCACAGAAGACAGATAAAACAGCCTTTTACACAATGCAGAGGATTAACCCCTTAGGTTCCACAGTGAGTATAACAAGCACGCTTTGCTGCATATACAGACTGATTTTTACTGTTGTGGGTTTAGTAACATTTCAAGTGTTATTACTATTCTATTAAAGTTTATGTAACAATCAACTAATACATTTTTATTACATGATATATAGTAGTAATCTTTTGGCAGTGATGCTTTGGTGTTGAGATTACAAGCGATGTGGTGCCCATAATCACCCATTGGCGTGCTCTACTCTGCATATTATAATGCCAGCTGCAGGATTTTCAGCATAATAATCAAAGCCTTCAGGTGGATTTGCCCAAATCAAAGATGGCAGTCCCTGTGCTCACCAATCACATGATGCTGACACACCCCCCAGTATGGTAATGACAGGCAGAAGGAATGTTCCATAGAGTGATCGGTCAGCTGCAAAGGAAGGTAGTGAAGCCTGTCCTTCTACCATGACAATATGCAGATCACACTGGGATGAGATGAGGATTTTGTTGTAGAATTTAGTCTCTGCTGGCATTCTGTTTTTATGGAACAACAAGCACCAGCATGACCTGGAACCTGTGGAGCTACATGCACCAGCATGACCTGGAACCTGTGGAGCTACATGCACCAGCATGACCTGGAACTTGTGGAGCTACATGCACCAGCATGACCTGGAACCTGTGGAGCTACATGCACCAGCATGACCTGGAACTTGTGGAACTACATGCACCAGCATGTCCTATAAACCTTGGGACTTCTAATTGCACTGCAGCTGCAGAAAGTTGCATGAGAACAATATGGGGGCTGCCATTGCTGGTCCCCTGGCTTCCTCTTCAGTCCTCCACCTGGAAGTAGACTGATGAGGAAAGTCAGATGTCCTTATCTATAGCTTGTCAGGGTTAGTGAGCCAGTGCTGAAGTCAGAGGATCAACATGACAGGCAGTTGTGGTCTCTTACCCTACTTCACCTTTCCTACATTGTCTACATCTACTATCAGCCAATGATCACATTTTATTTGTGTTTCAGAGTGCGTCCTGCATGGCGTCGGTGGGGAGAATGATGCGCGCTATTCGGGTCCAGGAATTTGGAAGTCCAGAAGTACTTAAACTCTTCAAGGACGTTCCTGTGCCTTCACCAGGCGAGGATCAGGTACACACATCTTGCCTCTGTGTTTGGATCCTTGCACCCGCTCTGACCCACATGGCAAACGTTTACATACAAATGCTTCAGTGCCGGCGCTGCATGTGCATTCACTGCTATGGGCTGCCTGCATGCAACTGCGAGGTGGATGCACATACATCTCCCCATGGTTCTGCATGAAGCCAGCAGTACTTGAACTCAAGGACGTTCTTCTGCCTTCACCAGGCGAGGATCAGCTACACACATATTGTGTTCGGATCTTCGCACCTGCTCTGGCCCACATGGCAAACGTTTACATATGATTGCGTCAGTGCCGGCACTGCATGTGCCTTCACTGCTATGGGCTGCCTGCATGCAACTGCGAGGTGGATGCACATACATCTCCCCATGGTTCTGCATGAAGCCAGCAATACTTGAACTCAAGGACGCTCCAGTGCCTTCACCAGGCGAGGATCAGGTACACACATCTTTCCTTTGCTTTCGGATCCTCACACCCGCTCCTTCCCACATGCCATACTTTGACAGGCGATTGTGTCAGTGCCATCACTGCGTGTGCATCCATTCTATGGGCTGCCTGCACACAACTCCGAGGTAGATGCACACACATCTGCCAACGCCTCTGCATGGAGGACGGGCCTAGTCGACTGTCTGAATGAGCCATTACGAGATGGGGCTTACAGCTTGAGAATGTATTGAATTCCTTCATGTTTTCCGTTTAAAAGGATTATTTTGCTTTGCAGTTATTGTTGTTCTTTTTATCTTTCAAAGATTTTGATCCGTGTTCATGCGTGTGGAATTAATCCCATTGAGACTTATATTCGAGCCGGAATTCACTTTCTGAAACCGTACCTACCGTACACCCCGGGCACTGACACTGCTGGGGTGGCGGAAGACGTAGGGAAGAATGTGGTCTCATTTAAGGTAAGTGTCAGGTCTGAAATCAATGCATTGTTTACTAGCAAGAACTGATGTCATAATGCAGGGAGTATGAGACCTGTAGAATAGGATTTACTGAATCTATAGACATGTGGTCCTCAAATGTGCTCTCAATTATTGGAGTATGAACAAGACATACTGTAAGAAGGTTTCCCTTGTGATAGCATTTTGTAAGTGACAGGTACTCATTACCGAGACACAGGGCTTTTTTTCTCAAAATATAGGTGCAGGAACTCCCCCCTTCTGAGTCATTTCTTGTCTCCGCTCCCTACCTACCTCTGTGCACCTTCACTTTGGTTCCACCCCGCTACCCATCACCTGCTACCTCTCCTTTTAGAGAATACAGAACCAAGTATAATTTTGTGGTGCTAAATCATTTGTATGGAATTTGTTAATGATAACAATAAAAGCAGAAAAATTGATCCCCTGCAGCCATCAACAAAATACCTCCCCCCCAGCAACAATAGATTCCTCCAGCAACAATGGGTCCTGATAACAAAATATCACCCCAGCAACAGCAGCCTCCCAGCAGCTACAACAGATCTCCCAGCATCAACAGACTCTCCAGCAGCTAGCAACAATAAACCACTCCCTCAACAGTAGATCCTTTCCAGCATCTATTGACTCCCAGCAACAATAGACCTCTCCAATAATAGACTACCACACAAAAATATATCCCTTTCAGTAACAATAGATCCACTAGCATCAAGCAACAATAGATCCTCCAGCACCCCTTGCCATTACACACATTCAGTGCTGGAGGTGCTGGAACTGCGATCCTGCTGAAAAAAGCCCTGCTGAGATATCTCTCCTCCTGCCCTTAAAAGCTTTCGATCAAACTCGAAACGGTTCAACCTGAAGCTTTTCCTTGCTGGTAATGGCCGGTAAACAAATGGCCGAAGCCAGAAGTGACAAAATACTCGTCACTTCAAGTTTTGCATGCCATAGAGATGATCAGAGACTTTCCAGTCCCAAATCAGCTCTATAAGCCATCAGAACCACCAACTTCAGTCCAGGCTCACTGGAGGGCGGTGGGAGGGGGGGTAGAAACCCCCGCCCACTGCCTGTAAAAACAATCCAGCGACCACTAGGATATTTTTTTACATTACAGAGAATTGGCTGCAGAAAAAAAAAAACAATACCAGGATGATGCCCCTGTAGCTGCAGGCATCATCCTAGTATACCACTTGAAACCAATAAATAAATATTTATATATATATATATATATATATTATATATATATATATATATATATATATATATATATATATATATATATATATATCATTTTGTTCCTAATTTATTGAGTTAGGAACCACAGATTACCAGGGTGCCTTGATGTGGCTCTGTGGCTTACCTGACAGAGTTTGTGAAGAAAAAAAAAGCCCAAACCATTTTCTGAAAGCATAGGATCAGTAGAATAAAAGCTCTGGAGGGGATATAAGGAGAGATAGACCCCTGGAGGTAAGATATCCATCCATATCCAGTACAGGGAGCATCTTTTTGGAGAATCACCAGGTGGATTACCAATATATTGCCATGAGGAATCACCTGTGAAGGATTTTTGGAGCAGCAATAGTTACATCTGTCCTTCCAGGACAAAAAGCGATTTTAGCCTAAATTTATTGGGCTAAAAAGGAGGTGAGCGCATAATATAGCAGTATTCATTGGTCTTTCACTCATTGGATGTCACAAGATTTTTCCATATATTAAGAGGACTGTTCACCTAATACGGACATTTTTTGAGTTATAATTGTTTATTGGATTTCATTGAAAAATATATATATATTTTTGTCATCACATTTTATGTCTTTTTTGGTTTAGGTTTTGGTAATCAGGTTTATTATTTGTACATGAACACTAGTCACAGATATATATAAGTTTATTTTTAATTATTTATTTTATGATCACATTATATCATGGGCAAACACTATTAATAGCATGGGAGCGCAGCACTATTATTAATATTTGGATTGATATTTTTATATATTTACCTTAAACGAACCCATTGTATGTGTGTGTGTGTGTTGTTGTTTAAGTGGTAAGTGGACCTAAGCACAAAAAGTGAAGGTTTGCTATGTTAGCCAGAACATCTAGAAATGCTAATTGTGCCTAAGCTGAAATCAACCTTATTGTTTTGAATTTCTCCTGAAACACATACTCATGTACCTCACCAGTTTTGGAATGAGATTTGGTGATGTTGTTACAGTAGTGCTCACTGTTTTCCTTGCTGGAGTGGAATCTGTATCTGAGAACTTTCAGAGCAAGTATCTCCCTTATTTGCTTCATTCATTCTGTGGATCTGTGCTTTCTGTATCTTTTTCTAGTACTGCTTGAATAATCCACCATTAGTCATAAGATCGCCAATCAGGAAGCAATGCTACCAAGATGGCCACCTCCACACACAGAGAAGGTTACGATAACTCTGTCCTGGGGAACTGCTCTTTTGACCTTTTTTGGGTGTTGACTTATGGCTGTAACAGGGTTACCTTTCCAGAATGTGTTGAGCAGAGAGCCGTATGTAAATTTATGCCCCTAGGAGTAGATTCCCCATAGTGGTGGTCTGCATTCAGACCCCTAGATTACAGTGCTCCATGAAAAATGAGACTGTGGGCAGCTGCAATCCTTTCATGTTTGTTCCAGGATTCCCTCTGCAAAGAAAAGAAGAACTGGACTCACATAGATAAGAACCACATGTAGGACTATCCAGGGGCGGACTGACAACTCATGGGGCCCCTGGGCAATAGGGGATCATGGGGCCCCTGTGTCCTTGCCCAAACTCAAAAAAGCCTATAAAAATGGTACCAGGGGTATCTCATGGGGCCCCCTACTGACCCCGGGCCCTCGGGCAGTGCCCGAGTTTCCAAATGGTCAGTCCTCCCATGGGACTATCCCTTCTGCATAATATGAAGATCGGCACAGCCTGTTACATGTCATTAGAGCAGAAGGAGCTGTGATTGTCAGATAAAACAGATATGTACTCACAAACAGCATACACTATCAAGCTCATCAATATCCACAGTGTCCCGCATAGCCTGGTCCACTGCCTGAGTCCCAAAATGGCTGTCATGTTTCGAGAGCAGGTCCCCTGTCCCTTAAAGCCAAAGGATAGCCTTACATAGGCCTTCGTTAAATAACTTTTTTCAAGGTAAGAAAAATGTATTTAATGTCTGACTATTTAAGACTATCACTTGACTCTGAGGAGAAGGGGACCTGCCCTGTAAATGTGACAGCCATTTTAGGACTCCCACCGTGGACCAGGCTATGCGGGACACTGTGGACATTGATGAGCTTGACATCATATGTTGTTTGTGAGTACTTATCTATTTTATTTCTTCAATAAAGAATATAAAAAGGTAATGTACAAGACTGGTTTGCCCTCTGTTTTTGTTTTTTCTAATACACTGCTCAAAACAATTAAAGGAACACTTTTAATCAGCGTATAGCATCAAGTCAATGAAACGCCTGGGATATTGATGTGGTCAGGTAAGTAGCAGAGGGGGTTGTTCATCAGTTTGAGCTGCGTTGGTGTTACTGAAATTAACAACAGGTGCACTAGATGGGCAACAATGAAAAACATTTCGGATCAATCTACATAACATGGAATTGTTCAATATTTTATGGGTGTCATAGACCCTTAGGGGACATTGGATTTGTGAGTCCAACTATGCTCTGCACTTCCAGGCAATACACATTTTTCACACTTGTACTTTCAGAGTCAGTAAAACAGTCCTTGAACTTAGCTTTACAGGTTTTTTTTATTAGGGGTTAAAAACATGGATGGGGTCTAGGGGTAAATGGGATGCCCAATGAATTTTAGAACTCTAAGGGTATCCCTGGGCAAGGGGACCCAAGAGTGTACAATTAAGTAGTCATGGATGAGTACTAGTTGGGACTTGCACTTGACCATCCTCTCCCCTTATCTAGCCCAAGGGGTATAGGAGAACTCACACTGTCCTATCCTGCCAGCACGGGTTGGTAGCTGCATTCAGGCCTTTTGCTGGGCTGGCTCCTTCCCTGCTAACAGGTTGTCCTCCCAAGGAGAAGTCAAGGCAGTAGAGATCCTCCTGTCCAGCAACCAGCCTATAGGTAGGCTCCCCTCCCTAGAACCCCCTTCCAGGCTTCACACTCCAACCTTGGACTGTAAACACTGCACAGCTGTGAGTAGGCCAGGGTGTGAAAAACACCATGATTTGGTTTGCTTAGGAGTTGGTAGCTGCTTTCAGGCCTTTCGCTGGGCTGGCTCCTTCCCTGCTAACAGGTTGTCCTCCCAAGGAGAAGTCGAACCAGTAGAGATCCTCCTGTCCAGCAACCAGCCTATAGGTAGGCTCCCCACCCTAGGACCCCCTTCCAGGCTCCACACTCCAGCCTTGGACTGTAAACACTGCACAGCTGTGAGTAGGCCAGGTTGGAAAAACACCATGATTTGGTTTGCTTAGGGGGAGTCATATGTGCGGGGGGGGGGGGGGGGGCTGTCTTTCCCTAACAAGTAAATGTATTCTTTAAAATGTTAATATAAATGCACATAATTATGAGTCTTTTTTTTTAGCTATTCCATTTTATGGAAAAAGTATATTTCCAAATAAACATTTTGGATTTTATGTATCACATATTTTTTCAGAAAGGTGATCGTGTGTTTACCAGGGCTACCGTTACAGGGGGTTACGCTGAGTACACACTTGCCTCGGAAGATACTGTTTATCCCCTTTCGGAAAAGCTTAGCTTTAAGCAAGGAGCGGCCATATCCATCCCCTACTTCACAGCCTACAGAGCGCTCTTCAAGAAGTAAGCAAAGTGAAAGTTACCATTTAATTTGTTATTTTTTCCAAACCAAAAGTACTATCACACTTTAAATCTCCTGTACTTTAAGGCGTCCTCCAGGTTGACTGCCAGAGCATGCTGGGAAATTCAGTACTAGTTTTATTCAATGTCTTCAGTGACAAAAGCCATATATGATGATTTTTTTTTTAATACAGAACTGCGCCTATGTGGTTACTGGAGGTCACAAACTGCTGAAAGAATACATACATTTAAATAAACCCTGCCTATTCCTCCTATCCTATTTGATTCTGGGATCAAATATACTTGAGAAGCAGAATCAAATTACTGTCCAAATGTTTTTTTGCCAGCTCCTGTACACTGCAGCACGCCTGACTGGCTCCTTGTACGAACCCTTTTCTCCCAGTGAGAATGCTGCTTTTCAGGAGAACTGATGGAAAGTTAAAATCAGGTTCTTACATAAATCTTCTTCTTCACATAAATAAAATACATGTAAAGATTTATAATGTTTTTTTAGCATCTGCATGGATTATATGAAATTAAAGTAATTTTAGTATGTGATATTTTATTTTATATATATATATATATATATATATATATATATATATATATATTTTTTTTTTTTTTTTGTAAAGAGCACATGGCAAACCTGGAGAGCTAGTCCTTGTACATGGTGCAAGTGGAGGGGTAAGTAGCACATGCAGTGAAAATGACTGTATAAAAATACACATTATTATGGATCTCCAAACAAATTTTGGTATAGTGTGGAAGGGTTAGTCCCACTGTCAGGTTTTTTTTACTACTGTCCATATTCCTGCTACATCAGAACAGTAAGCATGATTTCCCAATCAAGACGCCAACAATTAAAAAAAAAACCACCAAGGTTTCTAATCTTTCCTCAACAAATTAAAACAAAAAAAAACAAAAATAAGTGTTTGTATTGCTATGTGTGTTGCTATGGATACACTATATTGCCAAAAGTATTAAGACAGCCTTCAAATCTTTGGATTCAGGTGTTCCAATCACCTCTAAGGCCACAGGTGTATACAATCAAGCCCCTAGGCATGCAGACTGCTTCTACAAAACATTTGTGAAAGAATGGGTCGCTCTCAGGAGCTCAGTGTCTCCAAGCGTGGTACCGTGATAGGTTGTCACCTGTGCATTAAGTCCATCCGTGACATTTCCTGGCTACTAAATATTCCACGCTCAACTGTTAGTGGGATTATAACAAAGTGGAAGCAACTGGGAACAACAGCAACTCAGCCACCGAGTGCTAGACCACGTAAAATGACAGAGCGGGGTCAGCGCATGCTGAGGCGTACAGTGCGCAAAAGTTGCCAACTGTCTGCAGAGTCCATAGCTAAAGACCTCCAAACTTCGTGTGGCCTTCAGATTAGCACAACAGTGCATAGAGAGCTTCATGAAATGGGTTTCCATATCCAAGCAGCTGCATCCAAGCCTTACAACACCAAGTGCAATGCAAAGCGTTGAATGCAGTGGTGTAAAGTACGCCGCCACTGGACTCTAGAGCAGTGGAGATGTGTTCTCTGAAGTGATGAATCACACTTCTCTGTCTGGCAATCTGATGGACATGTCTGGGTTTGGCAGTTGCCAAGAGAATGGTACTTGCCTGATTGCATTGTTCCAAGTATAGAGTTTGGTGGAGGGAGGATTATGGTGTGGGGTTGGGCTTGGCCCCTTAGTCACAATTAAGGGAACTATTAAGGCGTCAGCATACCAAAACATCTTGGACTCATTTCATGCTCCCAACTTTGTGGGAACAGTATGGAGATGGCCCCTTCCTGTTCCAACATGACTGTACACCAGTGCACAAAGCAAGGTCCATAAAGACATGGATGAGTGAGTTTGGGGTGGAGGAACTTGACTGGCCTGCACAGAGTCCTGACTTGAACCAGATAGAACACCTTTTGGGATGAATTAGAGCAGAGACTGCGAGCCAGGCCTTCTCGCCGACATCAGTGTACTTTGGAATGGAATATTCCGATATTGTGACCCCACAAATGGGCTTCTGGAAGAATGGTCAAACCTTCCCATAGACACCCTTCTAAACCTTGTGGACGGCCTTCCCAGAAGAGTTGAAGCTGTTATAGCTGCAAAGGGCGGGCCAACTCAATATTGAACCCTGCAGACTAAGACTGGTATGCCATTAAAATACATGTGCGTGTAAAGGCAGGCCGACCAATGTTTTTGGCAATACAGTGTATGTTGGTGATTTTTTTTTTATAGCTTAGATATGTGAATTGTTAGATTTTAGGAATCTAGGCCTCCCCTATTGATATGCTAATGAACTCATGGGACTGGTTTATGAGCTTGCTACAAGATATGATGTAGCAGGAAATAGGGGAAGGGAAATAGAATTTGGAACCATGTTCTCAAGACAAAGGGGCACTAGGAGAGTTGTGCTGAGGACTCCAAAGAAGTAGAAAGCAGTCTGGAAAATACTGGATCATAGAAGATGACTTCTTCATAAAGAAATATCCAATTTAAGTAACTGTCTAGTTTATGCCCATCATATACAGTGTACAGGCTTATCTGCTAGGAAGATAGTCAGTCCGCTTGTGCATGTTGTGAGCATAGTTTGTTATACTTTGCATGCTATGAATCGTTTTCCTGAAGTTGTATGTTCAGCCTTTTCTGTTTAGTAAAGTGCATAATTACATTATAGAGTTTTAAGCTTCCTTGACATATACCGCAAAAGAACCTTAACCACTTCCCGCCCTTATGATGTCATATGAAGTCCTGGCCTTTGAGTGGAGAAATCTGGATGATGCCTACAGCTACAGTTGCAAGAAAAAGTATGTGAACCCCTTGGGATTACGTGGAGTTTTGCATGAATTGGGCATAAAATGTGCTCTGAACGTCATCTAAGTCACAACAATAGAAGAGCACAGTCTGCTGAACATAATACTACACAAACATTAGATGTTGCCATGGTTTAATTGCACATAACATGTAAACATTCACAGTGCAGGGAGGAAAAAGTATGTGAACCTTTGGACTTAATAACTGGTTGACCCTCCTTTGGCAGCAATAACCTCAACCAAACATGTCCTGTAGTTGCAGATCAGACCTGCACAACGATCTGGAGTGATTTTGGACCACTCCTCTTCACAAAACTGTTTCAGTGTAGCAATATTCTTGGGATGCCTGGTGTGAATCGCTGCAATATTCTTTTTGGACAGCAATGGCTTCCTCCATGGTGTCCTCCCATGTACTCCATTCTTGTTTAATGTTTTCCTTATTGTAGATGTGTCAACAAAAATGTTAGCATGTGCCAGAGATTTCTGTAGGTCTTTAGCTGACACTCTGGGATTCTTCTTTACCTCATGCAGCATTCTGCTCTGTGCTCTTGCAGTCATTTTTACAGGACGACCACGCCTAGGGAGAGTAGCAACAGTGCTAAACTTTTTCCATTTGTAGACAGTCTGTCTTACCTTGGACACATGAACATCAAGGCTTTTGAAGATAATTTTGTAACCCTTTCCAGCTTCATGCAAGTCAACAATTCTTGATCGTAGGTCTTCTGAGAGCTCTTTTCTACGAGGCATGGTTCACATCAGACAGTGCTTCCTAAAATCAGTAAACCCAAAACAGGTGTGTGTTTTTTAAGGGCAGGACAGCTGTCAGCAACACATCCAATACCATCACACTGATTGGAGTCAAGGTTGGCTCACTCCTGGCTCCAATTAGCTCTGGGAGAAGTCATTAAGCTAGGGCCTCACATACTTTTTCCTCCCTGCACTGTGAATGTTTACATGTTATGTGCAATTAAACCATGGCAACATCTAATGTTTTGTGTAGTATTATGTTCAGCAGACTGTGTTCTTCTATTGTTGTGACTTAGATGACGTTCAGAGCACATTTTATGCCCAATTCATGCAAAACTCCACGTAATCCCATGGGGTTCACATACTTTTTTTTGCAACTGTACAGGCCTCATCCAGATATCTTTTTCTTTCCAGCCAGTGATTCCCTCTGTTGTAAAGCCATCCTAGCCCCTGATTAGCCACTGTATTGCTTTTACAAGAAGCAGGAGGGGACGTCCCCCCTCCACCGCCCAACAGCACCTCTTTGTGCTCTCCCATGCGATCGGTAAACCAATCTATTGGCAGGGCCGGGTTACCATAGAGCTCTCTATGATACTGGAAGGCCATGACGTCACTTCCGGCTCTGGCAGATGTAAACACTGGAGGGGCTACCAAGAGACACTGCCACTTTGCCCTAAAATGTAACCGTGTCTCTAGCTAAGCTACCAGAATTGCTAAAATTACTCTTCTCATTACCAGTCAATGTATTGGGCTCATCTTCTGTATTTCATTATCTCATAGACAGGAATAGCTTGTTGCCAAATTGCCAGAGCCTACGGGTTTCGAGTATTCGGGACAGCTGGAAGCCCAGAGGGATTAAATTTAGTTCTACAAAATGGTGCTCACCAAGTCTTCAACCATAGAGAACATGACTATATAGAGAAGATTCAGGTGAGATTGTGTTAAGCTTTGGCTTGTGTATTAAAGAAAAAAATCTGTCTGACATTAATGGATTGGATAGGTAGATGAATTTATTTTACTATTTATTATTAACAGGTACTTAAATAGTGCTGTCACTTTACATATGGACAGCGCAGTGGCTAAATGGTTAGCTCTTCTGCCTGGCAGCACTGGGGTTGTTGGTATGACCGTAGTGCCACACTACCACACTCCAAAGACTTGCTGGTCAGTTAATTGGATCCTGTCTAAACTGCCCCTAGTATGTGTATGTATGAATGTGAGTTAGGGACCTTAGATTGTACGCCCCTTGAGGGTTAGGGACTGATGTAAATGTACAATATGCATGCAAAGCGCTGTGTAAATTGACAGCACTTTAGAAGTACCTGTAATAGTAATAATAAAAATAATACATTCACATCAGTCCCTGCCATCAAGAAGCATATAATCTAAGGTCCCTAACTCACATTCATATACATACTAGGGCCAATTTTAGACAGGATCCAATTAACCTACCAGCTTGTCTTTGGAGTGTGGGAGGAAACTGGAGTACCCAGAGGAAACCCACACAGGCACAGGGAGAACATGCAAACTCCAGGCAGGTAGTGCCATGGTAGGGGTTTAAACAGAGGTCCCTAGTGCTACTAGGTGGAAGTGCTAACACATTTACAGTCTGATCCAAAAAGAGTCAACTGTGAAAAGTAATTGATAGACACCCAACATGCTTGTTTAATGCATGGGTCCAATCAGGCTAATCACAGAACAAGAAGGTATAATTCAAGCATCATCAACAAACAACCAACACATCGCAGGAATAAAGTGTCCCTTCCAGGGGTGGACTGACCATAGGGCTTTTTTGAGTTTGGGCAAGGACACAGGGGCCCCATGATCCACTATTGCCTGGGGCCCCATGAGTTGTCAGTCCGCCCCTGGTCACTTCCATCAGGCCTAGAAGGATAATAAATTCACAAATAAAGGCATTTCAAAATAAACCTACAAAGACTTCCCCATACAGGAATATGAAGCTATAGTTCCTATAAATAAACACCTTATGTTTTATCTTTTACATTTTTTATTCAATTTGTAGAGGAGTCCAAAGTCTGGCAAAGGGGGGTCTGTACCCGTCCTTTAGATTCCACTTGTATGAAATTGATCATAATATAAATTGCCCCCAAAAACAGTTCTATTTTATTGTGTTGTTTTTTTCTTTATAAGAAACAGAGCTCATAGGTGCTAATATAAAACAAATAGGTTCATAATATGCATGAATATACATTTTATAAAGCGCTGAGCAAACTGTTGGCGCTATATAGATCCTGTATAATAATAATAATGGGATCATTTGTATATAGAGACATTCAAAGTTCTAGAATCTATTTATTTTAGATTGGCACTGGTGAGCTCTGTGTGTATATAACACATTATCTGAGAAATTATGTGTTTATTTGTATAAGTTGCATAGCCAAGATATCTATTTTTTATTGGGGGGGGGGGTGTACATTTTTTTTTATAGAAGGTGGTTTTCAATGGATTAAAATATTCAAGGTTTTTTTTTTTTTTATTCAAAGAATAGGAGCAGGAATTCGCCCTTTCTAGGTTACCCCTGGTCTCCACCCCTCCCCCCCCACCTCCGAGCACCATCTTTTGTATCTACCCTCCACCTACCTTCCAGTACCACTCCTCCTTTTAGAGTACAGAGCCAAGTATCATTTTGTGGTGCTAAGTAATTTGCATGGAATGTGGTAATAACAAGAAAAGCAGTAAAAAAGATTCCCCATAGCCAGCAGCAAAAGACCCCCCCCCAGCAACAATAGATCCTTCCTACAACAATACCCCCTCAGCAACAATGGGCTCTGCAACAAATACCCACCCCATCAACATATCTCCCAGCAGCCAGCATCAATTAACTGTTCAGCAGCCACCAAAAATAGACCCCTCCCTCAACAGTAGATCCCTTACAGTAACAATAGAGTTCCCCAGAAACAATAGACCACCACACAAAAATATATCCCAACCAGTGACAATAGATCCCCCAGTAGCCAGCATCAATAGACCTTTCAGTACTCCCCAGCACACGTTGCCATTATATACGTTCAATGCTGGAGTTGCCAGCACTGCGTTCTAGCTGAAAAAAAGCCCTACAAATATCAGTATAAGTTGACTGGCAGACAGTGCCTCTTTGTACTCTCTATCTTGTTACACAGGAAGCAGCTGGAGGAGAAGGAATTAATATCATATTGGAAATGCTCGCCAACAATAACCTGAATAATGATCTTAAGCTCCTATCGGTTGGAGGAAGAGTGATAGTAAGTATTGCAATTGCATCTCCAAGACTTCCTTCTTCAATTTTTTTTTTTTTTGCACTGAATTAAAAAACAAATTGTGGGAGGGGGGGGGGGGGGTGATCCTGAAACCTAACTCACCACAGCCTCAAGATAGAATAGGAACCTAACAGTTGTACATATTCAGTATGGCCTTTCTAGTTTTATATTCCCCTATCCAGCTAGATATTGGCTGTGCAGCTTGTCAGTGCCGCACAACCACTTGCCAAAATTCTGCTAACTGGACCCACACATGCCATGTACTGTACAGTCTCCAAACTAGAATATTTCAGTTTTGTCACAATTCAAAAACTAACAAAAATCCAATAAATTTCAAAAGATAACAACAACCCTTTCATCAGGCCTGAGAGTAATATAAAGGCTTCTAACTGTATTCTGTTCCTTTACAACAGGTTGTTGGCTGTAGAGGACCTATTGAAATAAACCCCAGAGATACAATGTTCAAGGAGTCCAGCATCACCGGAGTGTACTTCTACAACTCATCCAAGGTAACTAACAAGAAGAAAGGAGCCCAGACCTAGCATTATTTTTAAGCAGGGGGTTGGGGCTGCCATATAGGGCTATAAGAGATATTGGAAAAATGCCTTACGCCCTAGCTTCTGACATGCTCTCTTAGGCAAGAAAAGGTGCAAATACCAAGCGCAATGAGGTTCCAGGGGATAAGTAGACAACCACCATTTGGGCAGCTCCAACAACTCATCTGACCAGTAATGAGACATGAGTACAAAAAAACAAATAAAAGGAGCACTCCCAACCCGGACATATCCTGGACTCATCTCAGTGATCCCAGTGGCTGCCATCCACACACCCTTCCCACTGTTCTGTGGCTCCTGGGCTGAGCAACCTACTGTTGGGTCCAGGATTATGCGTCATCCTTCAGCTTCTGGGAATATGTGTTTCTCCTCTGGTTTGGTGATGTATCAATCTGGGCACTCCTACATGTCATGCTTTTTAACCCAACATTATTGTGAATTCTGTTCTTGGGCTTGTGACTCTATTGACTTCCACAGGGTTGGGAGTGCTCCTTTATGTCTCAGGCAAGAGAGACTGGGCCTTCTTTTAATTAGTTTGATTCACTGTCACTGCATCCGTCATCGCTAACATCTGTTCTCACAAGAAACCCAGGTACCTCTGTAGAGTCAACCCACCTCTGCGCACACATACCTAAAGCCCTGAAAAAGGGAGAGTCCTTTTCCCCGAAATGCGTCGGCTCAACTTGTATATCCATTATCTTCAATAAAAGATTGTTAATCTTTCCTGTAAATGTGGTACTACCTCTGACACTGGGCGCTTTTCCCTCTCCATGGCTGAGGATCTCATATTTAATAAGAATAAACTCCTGTACTGTACTGGTACTGACGCAGAGACATCCAGGGAGCTATCATTCTCTAAAGGAAAGATCAGCAATGGCAGCCTCCATGAATTTCACATGACTGGGTCCTTTTAATATATAGGATAAGGAAGGGCACAAATCTGCTTATCATCCATGGGCACCACTATGGGGTAAATGAGCCATAAACTCCTTTTGAAGTACTGACAAACTGTACTCCGATGGGCACCACTATGGGGGAGCCATCCTGTGAACAAAAAAGGATTTTGGCACAGATGATCACGGCACTGTAGAGGAGTCAAGCATCAGATGCGCAGTGAGATAGGAGAACATGCATCACAGGAGGGGTAAAACAAGTCACCTCTGGGTGTTCACGTTAAAGGAAAACTTTTCTGAGAGAAATACTTAGGCTGCTATTGGCTGGAAGTACAGGAGCTTTTCAAAATTCGAGTTGTAAAAGCTGTTCTGGTGTTACAGATTAGAAATAGAAAAAGCTCATTTCAATGTCAGTCTCTGAATATTTACCTCCCTGTTGGATGGCGAGCCAGAACTTCCGTGTCTTTTGAGCATTGCAGTCTCATAGAGGTTGATTTACTAAAACTGGAGCGTGGAAAATCTGGTGCAGCTCTGCATGGTAGCCAATCGGCTTCTAACTTCAGCTTGTCCATTAACCACTTGCCTACCGGGCACTTTCACCATCTTCCTGTCCAGGCCAATTTTCAGCTTTCGGTGCTATTGCACTTTGAATGACTATTTAGCAGTCATGCAACACTGTACACATATGAAATTTCATCAATTTTTTTTAAACATATAGAGCTTTTTTGGTGGTATTTAGTCATCACTGGGTTTTTAATTTCTTGCTAAGCAAACAAAAAAATACCAAATATTTTGAAAAAAAAGTTTTTTTTTCTTAATTTCTGTTATAAAATTTTGCAAATCGATTTTTGCAGCCGATAACCGGCAGTTGTATTTATATTGTGATCAGCTGTGTCATTGGACACAGCTGATCATGTGGTAAAAGGGCCCTTTACCATGTCACGTGATCAGATGTGACCAACGGACACAGCGATCACAGAGCTCGCCAGGGGACGCGCGGCTCTGGAGGACATCATATGACGCCCTCCCAGAACTAGATGACCGCGCTCTAGCCGTCATTCGGCTATAGCCTGCGCGTCAAGTGGTTAAGCTTTGAAAATAAAAGCTGGAAGCTGATTGGCTACCATGCACTGCTGCACCAGATTTTGCACTCTCTAGTCTTAGTAAATCACCCCATAGTCTTCTATTTTCTTCTTTTGCAGGTACATCTCTTTTTACCATTTTACATTTTGCAACAGCATCACTTTATAGAGACTCACTGTTTCACTTTTCCTATTCAGGAAAAAGTGACATAGCCTCTTGAAAGATCACTTTCCCAACCAAATGACTTTCTCTGCATTCTGATGTCCTGTCAGAGCCATTTACAAAATACTTGGCGCTTTTGGATACGTGAGAGCATGTCGCCTCCTCCCAGGATGCATTGCTCTGGCCACAGCAGCCACTTACCGGACCTGAACACTGTCACACAAGGAGGTAGTGATCAACCCTATGTAAGGTCCAACATTGAGCGTACACACACACAGATTCCAGCAGTATCCCTTTTCAACTGACTTTCACTGTCAGTGAATGATCCAAGATTTTGTAGCACAAAACATATTTTAATACAATATTTTGTTTTTTTTAGGAAGACTGGAAGGAGATTGGAGCAGCCCTTGTTGGAGGGGTTGAAGCCGGCTGGGTGAAGCCCCTCATCGGACCTGAATACACCCTAGAGGAAGCTCCCCAAGCTCATGATGACATCATAAAGAGCAGTGGAGCCACCGGAAAGATGGTCTTTGCCATCTAAGTGGAACTTTCACCTTCAGAACAATAAATGCCAATCATTTTGTAAACCAGTGAAACTCAAATGAAATGTGAATTGTAATGTGGGTATTTTTGATGAAGAAAGAAAAACAAGCACGTATTTTATTAAAAAGCACATTAGTTAAATACCTGAAAATGGTCAAAAGTGGCTTTTTTGGGGGGATTTTAGTAAGAATGGTTTTACAGCTAAAATCACAGTGCAAAGGGCAGTGCTGAGGAGGCAAATTCCTGCCAATCAAAATTTACAAAGTCTGGAGCAAAAACCCTGAAAATAGGTAAGTAGACATCTTTCATCTACAGGGTAGTTAGTATAATGCAGCGGTCTCCAAACTTGTGGCCCTTTGCTTGCCTTTTTCTGGCCCTTGGGGAACTATTTCTCCCACTGACATTAACAGTGGGGCGCTATTCCTCGCACTGACACAAATAATGGGGCATTATTCCTTCCACTGACACCAAGGATAAGACACTATTCCTCCCATTGACACCAAGGATAAGACACAATTCCTCCTATTGACACCATCGATAGTACACTATTCCTCCCACTTGACACCAATGATGGGGCACTATTCCTTCCAATTACACCATTCCTCCCACTGACACCAATGATGGGGCACTATTCCTTCCAATTACACCATTCCTCCCACTGACACCAATGATGGGGCACTATTCCTCGCACTGACACAAATAATGGGGCATTATTCCTTCCACTGACACCAAGGATAAGACACTATTCCTCCCACTGACACCAAGGATAAGACACTATTCCTCTCACTGACACCAAGGATAAGACACTATTGCTCCCACTGACACCAAGGATAAGACACTATTGCTCCCACTGACACCAAGGATAAGACACTATTGCTCCCACTGACACCAAGGATAAGACACTATTCCTCCCACTGACACCATCGATAGTACACTATTCCTCCCACTTGACACCAATGATGGGGCACTATTCCTTCCAATTACACCAACGATCGTATACTATTCCTCTCACAGACCTAAATGGTGGGGCACTATTCCTCCCACAGACACACATGATGGGGCACTGTTCCTCTTACTGATACTATTGATGGGGCACTACTCCTCCCACTGACACAAATGATGGGACATTATTACCGATGCCAGTACATTCATTTTCTACTCCCACTGGCAACGGTCTGGCCCCTCTAAAGTCTGAAGGACAGTAAACTTGCCCTTTGCTTAGCAACTTTGGAGACCCCTAGGATAGGAGTTAGGAGAAGGGTGGGTTCAGTTTTATGATTGGTTAGATCTAGCCTGGAATTTTACATTATAAGTAGCATTTCAGGTTTTAATGCACTTTAAATAATAGATCTGGGCCAAGAAGACAACAGTCCTAGGACAGAACAACGTTTTCGAACAGATCCAAGGATTCAAGATCACACAAACCAGGAAAGAAATTCAGAAGATCACAGACACTCTCCTCAAACTACTGAACTGGTCATGAAGATGATCTAGGCAAGGAAGATTTATTAAAAGGTAAGAATATACTTTTCAGTCTCAAAATATATACAGAGCCAAAACCTTCTATATAAAACATGACCATTGACCATCATGTGTGGGATCGGAGGCATAAGGCACTTCCATCCGATCATCGGGCTGTTGGAGCATCTGAAGCAGATGAGTTTGTCCATACAAGTATCTGGGATACAGCAGTATTCATTGCATATATCCACTGGCTACACACACCTCAGTTTTTCTAGATCAGGAGGTCTGTAAAAGGATTGGATGGTAAAGTGAAATCTTCATTTAGAAATCTTTTCCAGTAGTTGGGTCTCTTTGGTCCATTGTCTTAGTCTGTATCATGTAGGAAGGAGATACAAGTCTCTGGGTCATCCGGGGATTCACAAGGACAGCCATCTGTTATTTCGGTTACCTCCGGTCTTCTCCTCCGACGAGTGTACACTGAGCTGTCTGTCCTTTCCTTGTGGACTCCCTCACTCTTGCCATCCCTTTTCTGTAAAGCAGTCTGAAGGCAGCTAAAGAATCTGCAGAAATAGAAACAACAAAACATAGTAAAAATCTCCACTGTTGTTGAGAAAAAAAAAACACATTCCCCTTTGAGGATGCCCAGTGGAAGGGGCGAAATGCGTCAGTTGCGAATCGTGGTGACGTCATATCGGGCTGGTGGAGCGCACAACAGTGCGTTACTTCCTGGTTCGGCATTGTTATGCTTGTTAATATTGGATTAATGTGCATGCAATACATTTTTTATTCCAGTTTTAAAATACATGGAATTACACTATGTGGCCCCCTTTCTTCATTCCTTCTATATGAGCATCCCACCTTGCTAATCGCCGTATAGAAACAACATCTGCTGACAAGCACAGCCGGACGGGAGGACTACAAGGTCCAGCTGAATCAAGGATCTGTCTTACCTAAGCGACTGAGACTCTTGTTTAACCACTAGCCTACTGGGCACTTTTACCCCCTTCCTGCCCAGGCCAATTTCCAGATTTCAGCGCTGTCTCACTTTGAATGACAATTACGCGGTCATGCAACACTGTACCCATATGAAATTTTTATCATTTTTTTGCGATAGATAGAGCTTTCTTTTGGTGGTATTTAATCACCTCTGGGATTTTTTTATTTTTGCAAAACAAACCAAAAACAACTGAAAATTTTGAAAAAAATGTTTTTTCTTAGTTTTTGTTATAAAATTTTGTAAAGTGATTTTTCTCCTTCACTGATGTGCGCTAATGAGGCTGCATTGGACACAGCTGATCACATGACCGAGCCGACGTCTTCGGCTCTTTCCGTTGATCGGTGATCCGCTGTGTCCAAGGGACACAGCCACCACCGATCGCCGCGTTGTGCGCCCCCGTAACTGCACACGCGCGGTTAGAGTGGGAGGACGTCAGATGATGTCCTCCCAGTGTGTGGGACCACTGGCGGGGAGCACAGCATGAACTGCACGATTTGCATGGATAGCACACGTGCACAGTCTGGAAGATAATATTATGATTTTTTGCACCAGTCCCAATGGACTTTTTTGAGATTTCATTGTATGTTTTATTTTGATTTGTATATAATAGAGGTTTGCACATGGCAGCGCTCCTATAATTGTGATTGCATGTACATTGCAAGGATTTTAAGTTTGTTGCAGATTTCTACCTTTTGGTATTCTGAAGAAATAACTGTTGGTTTTGTCTGTGTCCATGCGCAAAATTAATAGGAATGGGAGTAATTTTATAATTAACAATCAGCTGTTGCACCTGTAGGGCTCTAATGAGGAAAGTGGCAGGGTCTGCATTCCTTTAGACGTGATTTCCCATTGGGAGTATCTCACCAAAAATGACATTTTTGTTGCAGGGGATGCTAAATATCTGATTCGTATCTTACTGCAGACTTCTGAGAAAATCAGTAAACCAATCACACAAGCAGGAAATGGCATTTCTGGAGGGCGTTCTGTACATCATATATGTACAGAACGCCTCCAGGTTGCCATTTTTGTATTTTACAGAAAATGACAGCTCTGCACACAGAAAAGGAAATTCGATTCGATTACAATATGACTCTTGTAGCAATTGTATAGTATTTATTTTTATTTGCTATTTATTTTCCCCAATGAAAGTGGAGTTACCTTTTTTAGGGAACATTTTAAACTGTTCAAAATTGACTCAGGAAATTTATAAGACTTTCATTGGGGTGTATTCATTTTTGCAACATGGTCTTGAATGAATTTGCTAGGAAAAATACATTTTGTGTGTGCACATTAAAACTTGTTTGCAATCAATGGCCCGCATTTGTGGGAGGATTTTTTTGTAGTATAGCGTCCCATAGAAAATGTGGATTCTGAAAGGAGAGTAAAGGTTTTCTGGCAAATCTGTTGGGGTGTACTCATTTATGCTGAGCGCTGTATATTTGTATAACAATTTTAAACTGTTGATATTATTTATTTTTACTCTGTATTCCAAAGGCTGTTTTTTAATTTTTTTTTTTGAACATGTGACCAGTAGCAGAGGGTTAGAAGCTCCTCCTGTCACTGTTTCCCTGCAGAGAGGCTGGGAAAAAGTTGGGTTATGAGACATCTATAAACTGATTAGGAAAAAAGGTACTTTTTAAAAATTAAAATAAGTACAGTGCCAACATCCATATACAGAACGAGAAGAGATAATTTAAATTAAAGTGGAGCTCCACCCAAAAGGGGAAGTTTCGCTTTAAGGACTGCTCCCGCTCCCCATTAAGGATTGGCACCTTTGGGTAACGGGGGGGGGGGGGGGGGAGCGCGGGTACCCAAATTTGACAGGTACCCGCTCCCACTTCCGGTCCGATTGCCTAGGCAATCGGAAACGGAAGGTGTCCTCCCTCTAGTCTTCTGGGACCTGTCACTGCGCTACTCGTGCATGCGCAGTGGGTACCCAGCTGTGAAGCCGCAAGCTATCACAGCCGGGTGCCCACACTGAAGATGCCGGCCTTCTGGAATCCAGGACGGCCGGTGAAACGGGCTGCGGGACACACACCGAAGGACAGGTAAGTGGCTATTTTTTAAAAGTCAGCAGCTACAGTTTTTGTAGCTGCTGACTTTCATTTTTTGACAGGGTGAGTGGAACTCCGCTGTAAACAGGGTGTGTTTTAGTATGCTTTAAGATAAAATACATCCTCCTGATCATATGAAGAGGCAGTGCTGCCCCCTTCAGGAGAACACAGGCTGGTGCAGGACAACTTCGCTGAATATTTTTGATTAGAAGACATTCCAGAAGTGATTAATGCATTGCTTCAACATAAAATGTGATGGATGATATACCCAACAATATTACTATGCCAAAAACCTTACAGGAACTGGATTTTCCCTGTCCAGCATGGCGATGCCGTACCAAAATCTGAAATACTGGGATTTCACAAACCGGGTGATTCTTGTCTTGTTCTCTTCCATTTTTTTCGGTTTGCCGTTTGCACCAAGTATTCAATATATTCGTTGCTCACTAAACACTTCCCCTTGTGGCTCAATGGCACCTCCATACAATGAGTACTCCGTACTGCCTAGAAACACAGCAACACACCATTTGGTCATTATCATAGGGTGTAATAAAAAATGTACTTCATACAAGGATATGTGGCTAGGTAACAAAAAACCCAATGCCAAATTAACCCCAACACACGGGCAGTTACACAAATATAAATGTTGCGCCAAATCCAAACCCCTTTCCCCCCCCCCACTTTTCCTGCTTCCACAGGTAATCATGAGGATCCAAGTCTAAAAACTCTGTGGTTCCACATGCCAGTTCTGGTCTCGTCACCTCCCACAACCACCCGTCACCCGCCTCATCACAAACAATGTAGAGAAGCAGCCACTATGGTCCTGCATTGTACATAGTGATGTAAGAGCAGCCAGAGAGAACCGCCACCACTACTTATCTCTCCTCCTAAAAATGCTAGCTGCCTTTGGCCTCAATATCATGAGTTACTGACATGGCACCAGGACCTTAGATTTTTCTGTGTCAGCATAAGAGCCAAGCAACTAGCATGCTAATAACGGCTATAAAAACAGCAGCTCCCCTTTTCTCTCTTACGGTGGGCTTAATATTTATTGGGCAATTCCCTTCTGGTAGCCTTAAAGAAGAACTCTGGGCAAAATGTTTATTTTCCCATGCAGTGGGGCTGTGCCCGCACTGCATGGGTTAACTGCTTGTTTTGTCGAGGTGCACAAGGAAAAGCTATACTTACCAAATCCTTTGATCCTCTGGAAAACAGCGCTCCCCCACGTCCAGCAGTGGACTGTTCCTGATGTCCTCGCGTCCAAAGCCGGTCTATGGGTTTGATGTCAGGAACGGTTGATTCATGAGACCGCTAGCGTTCTGAGAGGGGCAGGAGTTGCAGGGACTGGTCTTGCGCTTGGAGGATCAGCGGCTTAGGTAAGTATATCGCTGCTCTCCTAACCCCTAAACAAAAATGAGCAGGTAATCCATGCAGTGCAGGCAGAGCCCCACTGCAAGGGAAAGTATTTTTTTTCCCCCCCCAGAGTTCTTCTTTAAGTGAGTTGTTCTGGCTTTTTTTTTTTTTTTTTTTTCTTTTTTACTGCTGTGAAGCAGGTAGTCAGTCTGGCAAATAAAAACCAGACCAATTTCCTCATTGCTACACCTGAATATTATTTCTCATGAAAGATGCCTCTTCAAAAGCAGCACAGTCTGAGGTTCATCAGAATTTAGGGTATTTACGAAGCTACTGCATATCTCGCACATAGCTGCAGTGCTGTCAGGGATGCCTTCCTTCCGTCAATCTATGGGGTTAGCCTTCCTTCTGCAGTGCCGGCAGGGATGCCTTCCTTCCTGCAGTGCCGGCAGGGATGCCTTCCTTCTGCAGTGCCGGCAGGGATGCCTTCCTTCCGCAGTGCCGGCAGGGATGCCTTCCTTCCGCAGTGCCGGCAGGGATGCCTTCCTTCCGCAGTGCCGGCAGGGATGCCTTCCTTCCGCAGTGCCGGCAGGGATGCCTTCCTTCCGCAGTGCGGCCGGGGATGCCTTCCTTCCGCAGTGCCGCAGGGCCGCCTTCCTTCCGCAGTGCCGCCGGGGATGCCTTCCTTCCGCAGTGCCGGCAGGGCCGCCTTCCTTCCGCAGTGCCGGCAGGGCCGCCGGGGATGACTTCCTTCTGCAGTTACCCTCAAAATATTTCACTCCACTCAAAAAATACATGCTGCTTAGAAATCATCGTTTTATGTGCCCTGGTAGTGAAATACTACGATTGTTTTCCATTTTGAACAGAATAAGATATGGTTATAAACCCCGTCAGGTTTTTTTTTTTTTTTGCCATCTTTGTCAGTTTTACTTTTGCCATCTGGGTCACACTGGGGTAATTTCCCTTCATTTCCTGACCCACAGCCACAACAACAAGTGAGAGGAGATCCCTTCATAGTCATCAGAACTAATGTCTCCAATGGATGATTTCTCCTCTATTCCTGTTCTGGTGACAACCCAAAATTTGAGATTTTCTTTCACTTTTGGTCACCAGGACATTAAGAGGGAAATAATCTCCCTAATGGCGGCACAAACAGCAATAAAAACCAGACAAGGGCTCGAATCCCTCTCCAGTCTAGCCAAATAAAAAAAATTACTACTTTAATAATTTAAAATATAAAAGTTAATGCAGCGCTAAAAAAACTATACCTCACAATAGAATACATAACCAGAATGTATATATAGGTATTTAAATGATCCAAAACCACCTGGGGATAAGCAGAAAACAGTGGCCCTTAATAGGCTGATAATAGTGGTTAAGTGCAGGGTAAAGTGTCCAAAGTTCATATATCTACAGGGGTGCAGGTGCCGTCGGCAATAGCGTGGTGACGCACTTCCGGCGTGACGCCATCTTGGTGCACCTTTTTGATCCTGCTGTACACCCAGCATTGTATTGCCATCTCCATACAAGCTGTTTGCCATGTAAGTGGATTACCTTTTTCCTTGTTTGGATATTTGCTGCCTATTTACAAATAAAGCGGTAATACACTATGGGACTGTGTTTATCTCCTTCATTTATGAGCCTATGAGCGGTTGTAACATCGGAGGAGAGGGTTTTCCGTTTACCTACTGGTCTGGAGGAATTGTGTGTCCTTGTTCATAGTGATACCAACCTATCAAAAGAGTCCCTGAATTGGAGGATTCCGAGGTGATCTACAGTATGCTTTGTGGCCCTGTAGGGTCATAGAGTGGAGTGGAGGAGAGGCCATTGCAGCAAGACTGCCTGGGATCACGTTTTTGAAGTGTGCTGTGATTCACCTGCACCCCTGTAGATATATATGAACTTTGGACACTTTACCCTGCACTTAACCACTATTATCAGCCTATTAAGGGCCACTGTTTTCTGCTTAATCCCCAGGTGGTTTTGGATCATTTAAATACCTATATATACATTCTGGTTATGTATTCTATTTAGGTATAGTTTTTTTAGCGCTGCATCAACTTTTATATTTTATTCATATTGCCTTTGTTTAGTATGGGACAGATGCTGGCTGCTTCCTAGCTTAATTTACTGCTTACCATAAGAGCGCAGGAGGATATTTATGTGATTTAGACTTTAATAATTTACTTGCCTGTCTACATTACAATTACCTTCTTAATGACACGAACATTTTAATGCCTTATGCAAGCCAGAGAGGCATATATCCGGGGCACAAACAGATCACACAAAGATATAAATGTATTTTTACACACAACTATGCACATATTTCCACAGCATGGAGAAATACTTACCATTATGATTTTACCCTTCTTTCCTACAGTGATGCCAGAATTTCGGAATGCAGAGTTTATGGCGACACTATGCTGAAGGAAACAGGAAACAAAGTGTTAAAGTGAACCTGACAGCCATTTTTAAGTTTAAAGTGGTTGTAAGGAGATTAAACAAATCCTCCTACATAAGTTGTACCTGTTTATCTGTAGGCTTCTCTACTCTGTTCAAAGACCAGAATGTATACAGCTTATCTGATCTGTCAAAAAAACATGGAGTGGGGATCTGAAATCACACACTGCAGAGCTCAGTGAGGAGAGCGCAGAGAGCTGATTGGAGGGAAAAGACACCGCCCCTCCACACAGCTCACAGGAACAGAGCTGAGGCTGTCAATATGCTGGAGCTCCCTCCCCCATCACCATTTTTCTCTTAGTGACAGGAAAACTTGTCAGAAGTGACTCGTGCTGATAGCAGAGGAATGAAGTAGCTGACAGAAATGACACTCTGAACTGAGACACGTACACACTATAGAAGGATTTGCTTTGTTCATATTTCATGTCTGAGGTTTACAACCATTTAAGATGTCCCCTGTTACCTTTGTTGGAAGCCGCATTTCTTCTGTACCAAACTAGTCAATGAAAAAGCAGCAAACAAGGGCTTGGAAAGAAGGTACATGCCCCTTAAAAGAGAAGTGTGCAAAGAAAAAAAACAAACATACATACTCACCTAGATGGCTTTAGTATGGATCTGATGCTACAGCTGCTTCCTACTGGCTCTACACCAAGAACTGTGCGATCAAAGACTGCTAATTGCTCAGTTCTCGGAACTGCTCTGAGTAGAGAGTGGTAACTGTCAGACACCAGCACTGTCCTCTGCCCCTCCAGCGCTTGCTGAAGGGCCCGGCTGTGGAGGGGATGGAAGCGGCTGGGCCAGGCACTCAGCCGTTTCTCAGAGGCTGAGTAGGCTGCCAGTCAGCATCTGGGCAAATCTCGACATTATTGTCGGGATCCCTGCAGAGTCTGGACTGTCTCCGTGACATCAGCCGAAAATGGACTTTAGCCCACTGTCAGCTCATGCTGAGTCACATGAGAGCAGAACTAAGTGCACTCCTGTGACCCAGAGGAGAGATATGACCAAAAGAGTTTTTGCACTACTTCTCCATTAATGAACAGTGAATCATCTCAGAAGCATCTCAATCTGATCTCATATGCATGTGAAAGCATGCTGCATTCTCCCATTGACACAAACCCTTATCCAGAAAACCTTCACTGTGTGCCTATAGGAAACTAGTTTCACTAAGGTAACTGAATCAGCGCTAGTAACAGCAGGAGAGAGATCTAGCTCACAGTGAATAATCAGCCTACATTTCTTTATTCTCTGTGTGTGCACACAATACAGCTTTTATATTAAGTATCACTGATGATTAAAGAACCATATAATCTTTTCGATATACATTCCCTCTTATCTTGTTCACTGGGTTATGCTCAAAATACATACTCCTAATCTGCTGCCTCACGCCGGGTCCCATGCCACTATCTTCAATATGTCACCATGGGTCTGGCTGCAAGATCCAAGAAGAGACAGCCGGCTCTGATGAAAGGCAGTGATGCATGTGATGTAAATTTCCCCAAGGCCTCCTGGCATTCGCAGTGTCATTAGACCAGGAGGCTGCGGGCGACTGGGACAACATTCTTGCTTAGACAAGATTTAAAATTTTTGATAAAGAAAAAAAAAGCCTAATTGTGAGCGAGGAGGGAGCAAGGAGTGCAGTGAGGTTAAAAAGGTGGGGAGGGTAAAGGCCCACGCGAAGGATTCTTTTATTAGGAAGAAAAACCAAAATTCCCACAAATGGGCAAAGACAGGGGTCATTTTAATGAGAAATGTTTAATAAAAAATAAAGTATGTGTTGTACTCACAAATGCCAATATAGTCAAGGCACATCATAAAGAACAGCTGGGTCAACACCGCACTGAGTAACAGTCCGCAATAGGGAGTGTAGACATCCAAAAGGCTGACGCGTTTCAAGGACTTGCCTCTTCCTCAGACTGAGGAAGAGGCAAGTCCTCGAAACGCGTCAGTGTTTTGGCTGTCTACACTCCCTATTGCGGACTGTTACTCAGCGCGGTGTTGACCCAGCTGTTCTTTATGATGTGCCTTGACTATATTGTCGTTTGTGAGTACAACACATACTTTATTTTTTATTAAACATTTTTTATGGTAATGCACTAGGCCTGTGTGCCCTCTGTTTTTTCTTTCCTCATTCAGTATATTTGGATTTCCCCGGTCTATTTGAGGGCATCAAGGTGTGCATGTTCCAGGACATTCCTTATGTGGTTGTAGCCTGCATCGAGTCCATCCCCAAGCGCAGGAGCATTTGTGTTTGCTGGGACTTTTAATGAGAATCTTCATCCTACTGAGCTATAATTACATCCCTGTGTAAAAAAAAAAAACACACATACATACAGTACTTACTAGTCCTTGTGGTCCAGAGTTGTCTTCCTGGCAGCCAGATGTGTTCTTTGCTGCTCTGCTTCTGTGTCCTATCTTCACACAATATCCTATATCCTATGCATGCGCAAGTATGCTGCAGGCCTGCCCATGCCCAAAATTTCCGCATACACTAACACGCCATGCGTCTCTGCTAGGCCCTTTAGTCTTGCAGCAACCTGCGGCTTCCTGCACATGCACAGAGGCAACTTAAAGACATGCCATAGGTCTCTACCAGATCCTATACAACCACGGTGTAGGAACAGATATCATGCTGAAATACTGGATACGTCATCCCTCGCCTAGGTGAGGATTCAATAGGAGTTAAAAGTCTTACCAGAAGTTGTGCATCCTCTAATGTGCGACACTGGACATGCATGACGAAGGGCTCGAATTTCAGCACTGCATCTCCCGAAGATTTCTGGACAGCCGTCACCTAGAGACATCAATGAGAATGAATTATTATAGGAAAGAAGGATTGAGCTAGTTAGATATGTTGCTTTGGACTAATCTTGGGGGGTTTCAGTTCATTAATGAAATTAAATTATTGTTTTAGGATAAAGCCAAAGTCAAAGGGTTAGAATATCTGGATCAATTTTCGGTCTGTGAGTCGGTGAGGTTTTCTCACACATCCTGGCATGTGGTCACTGGGGCAGGACATCTCCACAATGGGAATACAAACAGAAATAACTCATTTCCTAATTTTAGAGTGGGGGGAGGGTTGGGTCAGCCATTCTTAGCCAGGGTTCCTCCAAATATTGCTAGATGTTCCTCAGGAATTGAGTAATGTAACATGGCATTCCCTTCACAGACAACCAATGTAAAGGAGCCAATATCCCATTGTATACTCGAAAGAGCAGGGCCCTTTAACCCCTCGTGTATTGTTTTGTTACTGTATTGTCCTGTACTGTCCCCCACTACAATGTACAGGGCTGAGCAAACCTTTTGGTGCTATATAAATACTGTATAATAATATACCAATGTACAAGGGGCACATCTCCCACTGGCCACCAATGTAAAGGGCATGCTTTCCACTGTCCATCAATGTGTGCAGGCACACCTTCCATTGACCATCAATGTACGGAGGTACATCTCTCAATGAGCATCATTGTATGGAGGCACATCACTCACTGACTGCCAATGTATGGTGGCACATGTCTTACTGATAACCAATGAGCAGTGCAGTGGCTAAGTGGTTAACACTTCCACCTAGAAGCACTAGGGTCATCGGTTCAAATACCAACCACAGCACTACCTACCTGGAGTTTGCATGTTCTCCCTGTGCCTGCATGGGTTTCCTCTGGGTCTCTTTTTTTGTTGGCCCTAGTATGTGTATGTATGAATATGAGTTAGGAACCTTAGAAATTTAGATTGTGAGCTCCTTGATGGAAGGGACTGATGTGAATGCACAATACATAAGTAAAGCACTGCGTAAATTGATGGAGCTATATAAGTACCTGTTATAAAATAAATTATAAATGTATGGAGGCACATTTCCCACTGACCACCAATGCAAAGGGCACACCTTCCACTGTTCTCCGATGTATACCGGCACATCTACCATTGACTATCAATGCAAAGGGCACACTTTCCACTGTTCTCCAATGTACAGCTGCAAGGTATGTGAACCCCTTGGGATTACGTGGAGTTTTGCAGGAATTGGGCCCTCTGAACGTCATCTAAGTCACAACAATAAAAGAACACAGTCTGCTGAACATAATACTACACAAACACATGGTTTAATTGCACATAACATGTAAACATTCACATGGAAAAAGTATGTGCTTTGGACTTAATAACTGGTTGACCCCCTTTGCAATAACCTCAACCAAACCTGTAGTTGCAGATCAGACCTGCACAACGATCTGGAGTCATTTTGGACCACTCCTCTTCACAAAACTGTTTCAGTGTAGCAATATTCTTGGGATGTCTGGTGTGAATCGCTCTCTTAAGGTCATGCCACAGCATTTCAATCGGATTGAGGTCAGGACTCTGACTGGGCCATCCAGAAGGCGTATTCTGTGCTGTTGCAGCCATTGTTTTGTGAATGACTTGTATGCTTTGGGTCATTGTCCTGTTGCATCACCCATCCTCTGCGGATTTCAGTTGGCGGACAGATGGTCGTACGTTTTCCTGCATGATAAACTCTGGCATTCATTTTCCCATCATGACAACAATCCGTCCAGGCCCTGAGGCAGCAAAGCAGCCCCAAACCATGGAGTGGGGATGAGGTTTTGATGTTGGTGTGCTGTGCCTTTTTTTCTCCACACATAGTGTTGTGTGTTCTTCCCAAACAACGCAATCTTTGTTTCATCTGTCCACAGTATATTCTGCCAGTAGTGCTATGGAACATCTAGGTGCTCTTTTGCAAACTTCAAACGTGCTGCAATATTCTTTTTGGACAGCAATGGCTTCCTCCGTGGTGTCCTCCCCATGTACTCCATTCTTGTTTAATGTTTTCCTTATTGTAGATGTGTCAACAAAAATGTTAGCATGTGCCAGAGATTTCTGTAGGTCTTTAGCTGACACTCTGGGATTCTTCTTTACCTCATGCAGCATTCTGCACTGTGCTCTTGCAGTCATTTTTACAGGACGACCACGCAATACTATGGAGGCAACATCTTTCTCCATTTGTAGACAGTCAATGTACCATGGACACATGGCAAGGCTTTTGGAGATACTTTTGTCTTTCCAGCTTCATGAGTCAACAATGATCGTATGAGAGGAGGCACATCTGCTTCTTGAAACCATCAATGTGTGTTTTTTAAGGGCAGGACAGCTGTCAGCAACACATCCAATATCATCGCACTGATTGGAGTCAAGGTTGGCTCACTCCTGGCTCCAATTAGCTCTGGGAGAAGTCATTAAGCTAGGGCCTCACATACTTTTTCCTCCCTGCACTGTGAATGGGGGTGCAATTCATGGCCATCCTGACCTTCTATTGTTGTATAGGACGTTCAGAGCACATTTTTGCCCATTCATGACCATCACATGTTGTAAGGCACATCTCCCACTGACCATCAATACATGGAGGCACATCTCCCACTGACCATCATGGTATGGAGGTACATCTTTCATTGACCATCGATGCATGGAGGCACATCTCCCACTGATCATCAATACATGCATCTCCCACTGACCATCATGGTATGGAGGTACATCTTTCATTGACCATCAATGTATGAAGGCACATCTCTCACTGACAACCAATGTATGGGGGGTGCATCTCCACCTGACCATCAACGTATAAGGATTATTTTCACAGTGACCATCCATGTAAGAGAGCACCTGTCTTACCAACGAAAAGGAGAACTATTTCCCTGATGAACGGGGTCACCACTATGCTACCACCAATGTACAGGAGCAATGTTCCATTGACTTCCAGTGTAAGATGAGAACTTGCCCACCAATGTAAAAAAGCATTTCTCCAATAAACACCAATTGTAACATACACTGCAGTTTTCGTTCACTTTTCTGGCCATTACTACCACTCATGATTCTCACTAAAAATAAAATTCTTACCTAGTGAAAGGGTATTATAGATGATTTGCTCCGAGTGTCAAATATGCTAGAGACACTGCATTCCTTATCACTCTATTATTATATCTACAACTTTCCAATCATGATACTGTACTTTAAATTTATATTTTAGCATAGGTTCCTAGAAACCCACAAATTATTTCAAGGGTTCCTCTAATAAAAATAGTTGGGAAAGGTTGGGTTATATCCTCTGTCTTGTCTGTACTGTTGTTTGTTGAGAAATGTCCTCACTTTCTATCCTAGTGGCAGTTGGTCACTGAGATAAAAAGTGAGCGGAAGCCTCCCCAACAAGAACACAGACAGCAGTATCATTATGACAGAGAATCTAATTCTTCCTCAATATATACAAACTAAAAACTATCCTTTTAAAGGATAACCATCAGGCTGGCAGTTATCTCTAGCTGAGGTGTCCAGACAAAACCTAAATCTCAGCAGTGCTACCAGCTCAGGGAGAAAATGACGCCCCACATATAGTGACATGCCCGACCAGGAATTAGGACTGCTTTTTAGTAGCTGGGAAACATTAGCTTTTAGCAATGTATTGAAACCCTCAGCTATGAGAGATATCATTAAACCTGAAAAGATCTTCAGAATCTTCCAAGAACTAAAAAAATCAGTTTTGGGCACACTCAGGTAAACTTGAAAATTAGGTCTAGAATGCATAGAAAAAAATAACTAATCTGCTAAACCAGTCCCCGCAAGGTCTTCCCCCCATAATCTAATGTCCTAAGGTCCTGATGTTATCAAGACCAATGCAGGCTTCAAAGCCCTGCATTGTTTGTGATGACACTGAGGAACAGTCCACTGCCGAAGCATAGGAGAATGCCATTTGCCTGGGGAGTGGAGGATCAGGTAAGTAAAAACACTTTTACTCTCTCCTAGAATAAACGAGCTGCTAACCCCTCTAGTGAGGGTGCAGCCCCACCACAAAGATCAGTTTTTGATTTCCCAGAGTTGGGCTTTATGCTGCATTTAACACATTTTCTCTTTTGATCAGTAATAAATAGGTGTGCATTGCATGTACTCACTACATCATCTGTGCTACAGAGGTCATGGGTGACAAAAAGCCACAAACAGTTCTCTTTCTGCACTACGGCGAGATCAGGATTCTGCAAGAGAAGATAAATGTGTAAAAATACTTCATCACAAAACATAAATTGTAGGCACATACACGATATGCAGACTGCCAAGGTACTATGAAAGTCTGAACGCCATTGTTTTCTAGAGTATATCTGCCATTTCAATTTCAGCAGCAGAGAGCAGATAGCAAAAATTAATGTCATGCGAATGATGGACCATCTCACAAGTCGGTACTTTGTTGGTGGGGTCCTTCAGGACAACGTAATGAAGCATTATCAACAACTGAGCCCGATTAACTGTATATTTGTGAATTACAGTATAATAAAATGGGATATTAATGAGTATACAGAGCTGGTGTTTGCAAATAAGAGTTCGAAAAGCTGCACCCTGAAGGTCACCAGGGTAAGGTAAATGTCTGGGTACAGAGGTTCCTCAGGCTGTAGGACCTCTGATTTTAAGGATCTGCTAGATTAGTAGAGTTGAGGGTTTCTGGGTCTATGGGTCACCTAAAAAAAAAAGGGTGATCATGGAGTTTATAGGTCACCATAGGTAAAGTAAAAGGGTCTTTGTTTTGGGTTTTTTAGGTTGTAGGATCTTGGGTTTTGCAGATCAGTAGAATAATGGATTTCCAGGCCTCTGGATCACCACACAGAGATGGTCTCTGGACCCATAGCCTCACCAGAACAAGGATCTTTAGGTCTCTAGGGTAAGGTAATTGTCTGGGTCTAGAGGTTCCTCAGGATCCTCAACCTGTAGGATCTCCATATGCAAAGAAATAATTTTGTTGTAGAATCATAAAACATAAAGTCATCCTGTGTATCACCCATGCAATGCAAAGCAACAGTGCACTTTTAATACTAGCTCCAGCATCTGCTTACATGTTATGCTTCATTTGTCTATGGAAGTGAGAAGTCATCAAGTTCCAAGTGAAAGGAATAAGGGAGTGAGCCACATGCTCACATGCTCACCATACCTGGAAATGCCCCATAAGACATTTTACTGCACCATGGGAATGGCACAGCAGGGAAGCAAAGGAAAGGTAATGGTAAGCCTCCTGGTGGGGCCAGCCAGGCTAAAGTAAACATGTTGCTTTGTTCTGCAACGGTAAGGCACAGGTTCACTATAAAGAGAATACACAGCATAATCTGTTTAGTAATGTTTTAGATGTCAAACAACTCGGTCAACATTCAAGCAAAAATTAGAGGTGTATATATTGAGACATTTAGGAGGCTGCAGTAACTTTGCTGCATTTCATTTATGAAAAACTGGGATTCACCACAAATGTCCATCAAGGCCATGTCACAAAACTCTCACCTCATCAATAATGATAATCCTTCCAGAGCAGGAGCTGGTGGTGAAGTAACAGTCTTGGAGGTTAATATGCTGCACAATCTCCTCAATGTCTTTGTCCACACTGCCTTTTTTACTGAGGTCTGTTTTAAAGGAAGCTTGAAGTTTCCAGTGGGAGAAAGGCCCAATGGAAGGTAGAGTTTGTTGCTTGTGTGAATTGGAAATAGTCTTTGGGTTCACCAGACTGCAGGGGCCACTCTGGTTCTGGCACTGCTGACTGCTTATAGAAGATTCCGTTTCCATGTTGCTGCAATCAAAGTAGGTTTCAGCATGGAGCTCCATGTTTGAAACTTTTCCAGGCTGAAGACAGCTCCTAGAGTTGGTGTTCTCTGGACTTTGAGTTTCACCTGGCAAAATACAGTTCACTCTGTGAGTTCACCAGGTTTAAGAGGACACCTGGGTCTGGAGGGTCATCAAAATGAATAAAACTCTTAAGTAAGATGTTCCTCACATCCAAAATCTAAGTCTACGGGTTTACCAGACTGAAGATTTATTCAGGGTACAGAATTCACAAGAATCAAGAGGGATTCTGGTTCTGAATGTTCAGCTAGCTAAGGAGGGCCTCTGTCTGAGACGGTACAAAATTTGGAAGTATCTGTGGATATAACAGTCCACCAAGAGGAACAGGGTTCCTAGAAGATTCAGCATGAAGAACTCTGGGTCTGGCAGATCAGCAGAGTAGAGTTTCCCTCGGGCTGTGGGTCCCCAGATGGAATAGTCTCTGGATACGCAGCCTCAACAGAATGGGGGTCTTTAGGTCTGAAGGCAACCAGGGTAAGGTAACGGTCTGGGTTTAGAGGTAGGCTGTATGATCTCTGACAGATCAGTAGAGTAGAGGATTTCTGGGTCTGCAGGTCACCAGAGAGGGGTGGTCTGTTGGTCATCAGGGTAAGGTGGAGGGGGTCTTTGTTTTGGCTTTTCTAGGTTGTAGGACCCCTGGATCTAGCAGATCAGTAGAGTAGTGTATATTTTGGTCTCTCCTTTGGGTTCCGAGTGTTGTAGGAACGCTGGGTCTGGCAGATCAGTATAGTAGTGAATCCCTAGGTCTGCAGGTAATCCAGACAGGAGTGGTCTCTGACTCACCAGGGTAAGGGCGAGGGGTCTCTATTTCCTAGGTTGTAGGATTCCTGGATTCAGTAGATCAGTAGAATAGTTGATCCCTGGGCCACCAGGGTAAGATCAAGGGGTCTCTGTTTTGTTTTTCTTAGGTTGTAGGATCCCTGGGTCTGGCAGATCAGTACAGTAGGGGGATCCCTGGGTCTCCGTTTTGAGTTTCCAAGGTAGTAGAATCTCTGGACCTAGCAAATTGGTACAGTAGTGGATCCCTGGGTCACCAAAGGTCAAGGGGTGTCTGTTTCTGGTTTCCTAAGCTGTAGGATCCCTGGATCTAGCAGATCAGTAGAGCAGTGGATCTCTGGGCCTCTACTTTGGGATCCTTAGGTTGTAGTAACCCTGGGTCTGGCAGATCAGTATAGTAGGAAATTCCTGGGTCTGCTGGTCACCAGGGTAAGGTCGAGGGGTCTCGGTTTCCTAGGATGTAGGATCCCTGGATTTAGCAGATCAGTAAAGTAAATGAGTCCTGGGTAACCAGGGTAAGGTCTCTGTTTTGGGTTCTTTAAGTTGTTGGATCCCTGGGTCTGGCAGATCAGTATAGTAGGAGGTTCCCTGGGTCTCTGTTTCGTGTTACCAAGGTTGTAGTATCTCTGGATCTAGTAGCTTGGTACAGTAGTGGATCCCTGGGTCACCAGGGTGAGGTCGAGGGGTCTGTTTTGGATTCCTTAGGTTGTAAGATTGAGGGATCACTGTTTTGGGTTTCAAAGGTTGTAGGATGTCTAGTGGAACAGTATAGCAGGAGGTCCCTGCGTCACGAGGGTAAGGTTGTGGGGGTCTCTGTAGGAGCCCTGGGTCAGACCAGTATGGTAGGGGATCCCTGGGTCTGCAGGTCACCAGGCAGGGCTGGTCTCTAGGTCACCAGGGTAAGGTGGAGGGGCCTGTTTTGGATTTCCTAAGTTGTAGGATCTCTGGATCTAGCAGATCAGTATGGTAGGGGATCCTGGGTCTGCGGGTCACCAGGGTAAGGTGGAGGGGTCTGTGTTTTGGATTTCCTATGTTGTAGGATCTCTGGACCTAGCAGATCAGTATGGTAGGGGATCCCCGGGTCTGCGGGTCACCAGGGTAAGGTGGAGGGGTCTGTGTTTTGGATTTCCTATGTTGTAGGATCTCTGGACCTAGCAGATCAGTATGGTAGGGGATCCCCGGGTCTGCGGGTCACCAGGGTAAGGTGGAGGGGTCTGTGTTTTGGATTTCCTATGTTGTAGGATCTCTGGATCTAGCAGATCAGTATGGTAGGGGATCCTGGGTCACCAGGCAAGGCTGGTCTCTGGAGGTCACCAGGGTGAGGTAATGGTGTGAAGGTTCCTCAGGCTGTGGGCTCTCTCTGGGTCTGACAGTCCAGCACAATGGAGGATTTCTTGGTCTCCAGGCTATACAGAAGTGTAATATGGAAGAGCAGAATGTATTTATGAGTTGTGTCCCTCAGCTGCTCCAGGATCCATAGATGAAGCTCCTCTCCACCTTCCTGCACACAGCACCTCTCCCTCCTATCTCCAGCCTTTTCTATACACTCTGCACGCTGTCAGGAAACCTCCATGCTGTGTACGGTGGAGGAAAGGGAACAAACATCCTCCCTTCAGTTTACTAACCAGCCGCCATATTTACTTCTGGCAAGCACGGTGATACTCCAAACATTCAAAAGCGACCTTACAGCTGAAGGATACCAGCATGTCCTATTATCCATCAGCTGCAGGTACCCTAACACAACTTTAAACTGCAAAATAGTCCCTTACATTTGCCCACACGAAAGATGGCGGCCTCTGTGTTCACCAGGCGCTGACACGCCCCCCAGTGTGCTGCAGCTGACAGGCAGATCGAGTAGTGCTCCTGCTGGGACTGATCAGTGCTGGATCTGGAGGTAAGAGAGGGATCTGTGTATTCTCTGTATATTATTGGAGAGGGCAGAGGACATTCTATGCTGCTTCTGGCATTCCAGCTGTTATAGAACTATAGTCTCAGCATGTCTTCCTAGCCTGTGCAGGTTGGGGGTTAATGTGTCACAGCTTATGGAGATCCTGGATACTAAATGTATTCTGTAGTATTGTTATTATTGTTGTTTTGTTTATATTTAGCATTTCAATAACTGCAGAGCATGCATGATACTTTGTTCATGTTTGGTGTTTATTTAGTTATTTTGCAGCTTTGGTGGTTTGTGTTTGATCCGTAATCATGCCATTTCTGCTGACTGCCGTGTTTAGTGGCAGTGTTAGGTCGGCTCATGGACGGGGTGGGCAGAACAAAGGTCATATGTACTAAATGCTGATCATTCCACACATCGGGAATAGAGGAGATACAAACATTCCGTCTGTTCTCCAGGTAGAGGAACTCTGATTATCCTGTGTACACTCCAGGTATAGAGGGGCTCCGATCATTCTATATGCCAGGTATAGAGGGGCTCCGATCATTCCACACACCAGGTATAGAAGAGCTCCGATCATTCTATATGCCAGGTATAGAGGGGCTCCTATCATTCCACACACCAGGTATAGAGGAGCTCCGATCATTCCACACACCAGGTATAGAAGAGCTCCGATCATTCCACACACCAGGTATAGAGGAGCTCCGATCATTCCACACACCAGGTATAGAAGAGCTCCGATCATTCCACACACCAGGTATAGAGGAGCTCCGATCATTCTATATGCCAGGTATAGAGGACCTCCGATCATTCCACACACCAGGTATAGAGCAGCTCTGATCATTCCACGCACCAGGTATAGAGGTGCTCCGATCATTCCACACACCAGGTATAGAGGAGCTCCAATCATTGTATAAACCAGGTATAGAGGGGCTTCGATCATTCCACCTACACACCAGGTATAGAGGAGCTCCGATCATTCCACCTACACACCAGGTATAGATGAGCTCCAATCATTCTATATACCAGGTATAGAGGGGCTCCGATCGTTCCACACACCAGGTATAGAGGAGCTCCGATCATTCCACACACCAGGTATAGAGGAGCTCTGATCGTTCCACCTACACACCAGGTATAGAGGAGCTCCAGTCATTCTATACACCAGGTAGAGAGGAGCTCCGATCATTCCACCTAGACACCAGGTAGAGAGGAGCTCCGATCATTCCACCTAGACACCAGGTATAGAGGAGCTCCGATCATTCCACCTACACACCAGGTATAGAGGAGCTCAGGTCATTCTATACGCCAGGTAGAGAGGAGCTCAGATCATTCCACCTACACACCAGGTATAGAGGAGCTCCGATCATTCTATACGCCAGGTATGGAGGGACTTCGATCATTCCACCTACACACCAGGTATAGAGGAGCTCCGATCATTACACCTACACACCAGGTATAGAGGAGCTCCAATCATCCCACATACCAGGTATAGAGGAGCTCCAGTCATCCACACACCAGGTATAGAGGATCTCCAGTCATCCCACACACCAGGTATAGAGGGGGATCTCCAGTCATCCCACACACCAGGTATAGAGGAGCTCCAGTCATCCCACACACCAGGTATAGAGGGGCTCCAGTCATCCCACACACCAGGTATAGAGGGGCTCCAGTCCATCCCACACACCAGGTATAGAGGGGCTCCAGTCATCCCACACACCAGGTGTAGAGGGGCTCCAGTCATCCCACACACCAGGTGTAGAGGGGCTCCAGTCATCCCACGCACCAGGTGTAGAGGGGCTCCAGTCATCCCACACACCAGGTATAGAGGAGCTCCAGTCATCCCACACACCAGGTATAGAGGAGCTCCAGTCATCCCACACACCAGGTATAGAGGAGCTCCAGTCATCCCACACACCAGGTATAGAGGAGCTCCAGTCATCCCACATACCAGGTATAGAGAGGAGCTCCGATCATTCCACCAACATGCCAGGAATACAGGGAGTATCAGCGTGTTTAGTGAATGCGTGTTTTCAGGTATACTGTGATGTTTAGCTGAGTGTGCTTGCAGGGACTTGCTGTGACTTCTGCACTCCTACACACGTGCTCTTCTATGTTGTAATTCTGATATATAACTTCGTAGATCCAAGTGTCTGCTTACCAGCAAATATTCTTGGCATCCATTCTGATTAGTAACATCAACTAGCTGTATAAACAGTCTAAGAGTATCTAAACCCGAACCAAAAATGTGTTCTATTGCAGCTTATCATTCCTTAGATGGATCCAGCCAGTAAGTCTGTTATTTTTTAACTTCTTTTAACAGAGAGCAAGTCCAGAAAAAGGGTTGACAAACCATTTTCCACTGACAGGGGTGCTTACAATGGTCAGCTTTTATTAATTTATGTAAAACCTTTATCCCAACAGGGAAAAAAAAAACAGTTTCTGTAATTACTTAAAAAGTGTTAGCCGGACGTTGGCTTTAATTTGTTAGTTACTTTTGTAAAGTTCATCTAAATGTACTAGTCCATCCAACACTACCTTCTGCATGGGTTGACAATGCTGCTGTCTCCATTGGTCCTGCATAGATACAGAGGAGGAATGAGCGTATCCACCCTAACAGTCAGTTCCTACCACATAAAATGCACTCCAAATGCATTCCGGATACGATTTTGCTCACAGTTCACACAACACGCAGTTCCGGTGCAGTTTTGATGCAGTTTGCTCTGTTCCTGTATGGTTCTGTGCAGAAAAAATGCAGCACATTCTACTTTTTTTTTACTGCACCAGAAACTGACTGGAACTGACCGCACTAGTGTGAACTAGGGCCATTGGAATACATGGAAACACTGTGCGTGCATTTTTGATGTAGAAAAAAAACACACTGGACTGCATCTAATGTGAACTAGCCCTAAGGCTATGTTCACACCTATGCAGTTTGCGTTTGATCCGTTTCTTCAGTGCTTTTTGCGGTGCGTTTTGCATTCTTGGATGTGCGTTTTTTGATTTTTTTTTCTTTCAATTTGTTGCTGGGCATATTTAAAACGGATCAAAATGCGTAAAAAAATGCACTACATTTATTTCTGCAGCATCTCCATTGAAGTCTAGAGCCAAAACGCAACATTTTGTGTTTAAAAAAGTCCCTGACCCTTTAAAAAAAAAAAAACGCACCGGGTGAAAATGATGTGAACGTGTCCCATAGGAAATCATGTTAAGTGAACTGTAGTGGGTTTCTACAAAATGCACCGCAAAGTGCTTAGGTGTGAACCTAGACTAAGGCAGGAATTACCAGGTGAAAAGAAAGGTGTGAAAATAAGGAAAACTAGTGCAGTCACCTCATCTAAGGACTAGTATTATTTATTTATTACAGGTACTTATATAGCGCTGTCAATTTACGCAGCACTTTACATACATATTGTACATTCACATCAGTCCCTAACCCTCAAGGAGCGTACAATCTAAGGTCCCTAACTCACATTCATACATACACATACTAAGGCCCAGGGGCGGCTGACCATTTGGAAACTCGGGCACTGCCCGAGGGCCCGGGGTCAGTGGGGGGCCCCATGAATGCCCCTGGTACCTTTTTTCATAGGCTTTTTTGAGTTTGGGCAAGGACACAGGGGCCCCATGATCCCCTATTGCCCGGGGGCCCCATGAGTTGTCAGTCCGCCCCTGCTAGGGCCTATTTAGACAGGATCCAATTCACCTACCAGCATGTCTTTGGAGTGTGGGAGGAAACTGGGAGTACCTGGAGGAAACCCATGCAGTCACAGGGAGAACATGCAAACTCCAGGCAGGTGGTGCCGGGGTTGGGATTCGAACCAACAACCCTAGTACTGCCAGGCAGAAGTGCTAACCATTTAACCACTGTGCTGCCCATATAAGTATGCTGCATTATGTATCATTTATCTTGTTGGGTTGGTATACTTTGAGATTCTGTTGGTGTTTCTCAGAGAAAAGAAGAGCGGCGCCCTCTAAGTGTAGCAATAAAACTCTTTAATACAACGTATAAATGGAATGCAGGCCACTCACAAAGGCATGGTGGAGAAGCCCTTGTAATATCACATAATAGGCATCCACTGTGTGGAGGGACGTGAGTCTCTGTGAGTGTGGATGGGTCCAGTGTTAGGCGGCGATGCTGGTGGCCCCCAGCAATTCCTCCGAGTTCCGGGACCCAGCGTCTAGGCTGTATTTTTAACCCTTTTCTGAATGTGCCAAATACCCGTTCCACTTACAGGCGTACCTCGGTTTACGAACGCCTCCGTTAACGTAATTTTCGGTTTACGAATGAAAATCCATTGAAAATAATGCCTCGGTTTACTAATTTTTTTCGCAATACGAAGCACGTTTCCCCAGGATGTATTGCACCTGGGAGGTTTATAGTTCCAGCCCCGTGCCTTTAAAGTGCATTTTATAAAGAGTTTTGAACAGATAATATTTTTTTATTACTTTTTTCTGACTTCCGGAACGGATTAATTGGTTTCCAATGCATTTACGATTTTTTTTGCGCAATACAAAGCGAGTTTCCCCAGGATGCATTGCACCTGGGAGGTTTAAAGCGCCACCCCCCGTGCATGCTGGAGTCTGTGGGTAGCACGTAGCATTGAGTGTGGAGGTGTTGGAGCAGTTTTTGCATCGAGTTTTGTATCCATTCTGGAAAATTTTTTAACATGTCCCTGTACAGTATTTATGCCTTTAAAGTGCACTTTATAAAGAGTTTTGAGCAGATAAAAGACTTTTTTTTTAACTTTTTTCCGACCTCTTGAACAGATTAACTGGATTTTAATGTAGTTAAAAATTAATTTTTAGTCCTGTCCCTGTACAGTATTTATGCCTTTAAAGTGCACTTTATAAAGAGTTTTGAACAGATAAAAGACTTTTTTTTTTTTTTTTTTTACTTTTTTCTGACCTCCAGAACGGATTAATTGGTTTTCAATGCATTTACAAATTATTTTTTTTATTATGTCCCTGTACAGTATTTATGCCTTTAAAGTGCACTTTTATAAAGAGTTTTGAACAGATAAAACTTTTTTTGACTTTTTTCCAACCTCCGGAATGGATTAATTGGTTTTCAATGCATTCCCATGGGAAACCGCGTTTCGGTTTATGAATTTTTCGCAATACGAAACGTCCCGCAGAATGCATTAAATTCATAAACCGAGGTACGCCTGTATATTGGTGTTTCTCTTGAATATATTTCTCATATACTCCCATAGAGACTGCACTGGGGACTTGTCCTAATACAAATATGGCCTTTTCTTCTGACATTTAGGTCTTCTCCACCTTTCTTACATCCAGATCTCCATCAACCATGTTGTCTCTGCATTGTGCCCGGGTTCTTTGACCACTCCGATGTACACCTACTGTCGATTAATGAACATTATTTATTTTTGCGTTTCAGAGAGAGCCCAGCATGGCGTCGGTGGGGAGATTGATGCGCGCTATTCGGGTCCAGGAATTCGGGAAGCCAGAAGTACTAAAACTCCTAACAGATGTCGCTGTACCTTCACCGGGCGAGGACCAGGTACTCCCACCTTCTTCACACAATCTCCTGCTTCTGATATACTTCCAGGTTGGCGGCTGCCTGGCCCCCTGCTGAGTGTTCAGAGGCAAGGAGACAACACAGCTCCCAAAGCTCCTTTGGCTCTCCCAGGTTAGGATTAAAGCGGAGTTCCACTTGCTCTGTGAAAAACTAAAAGTCAGCAGCTACAAAAACTGTAGCTGATGACCTTTAAAAAAACAGCCACTTACCTGTCCCACGATCCTGCGGTGTCCTCCCTGCAGCCGTTTCACCAGCTGTCTGGTATTCCTGGTGCCGACATCTTCAGTGTGGGCAGCCGGCTGTTGCAACTTGCAGCTTCACAGCCCAGTGCCCACTGAGCATGCGGGAGAAGCGCTGCACTTCCTGGATTGTCCCATAGTCTTCTAGGACCTGTCGCGTGTCCCAGAAGACCACAGGGAGGGCAACTTTTGCTTCCAATCGCCTAGGCGATCTCAGCGGAAGTGGGAGCGGGTACCTGTCAATTTCGGGTACCCGCTCCCCAAAGGTGCCTTTAATGGGGAACGGGGGACCAGTCTTTAAAGTGGAACTTCCCCTTTTGGGTGGAACTCCGCTTTGAGCATTGATAGCACGAAACGCGTCAACCTTTTACTCCCTCTCTGTGACGATGTCATCCTGATGTTTTGGTGTTTATGAGTACAATAAAGAGGATGGAATTGGAGTGCGGCCATCCAGATGTCTTCTACTGGCTCTTCCACATAGATGGGGTGTCTGCTTTGCTCCTACATCTTGTAGTACACCAATACCCTCACCCCCAATACTCTCACCCCACACTGATCTCAGCTTAGCGATCCTTTTATTCAAATTAGTGGTCAACGAAATTCAAATTCTGGACCGAAACCGAAAATGCAGGATGCCTTTGGCAGAAACCCAAAACCAAAATGGACGGTTTCAAAAAAAACAAACCAAAGAACACGTATTATATATAATTGTATTGTATTCGACTTTTTAAATAATTTCATGAATTTAAATGAATATGAATTTATTTTTTCATCACCTCTTCAGCCAATAGGCTGCTTTTACACTGAGCAGTTTTTGAAGCGCTTTTGAAGAAAAAGAAAGCGCAAGAAAGGCTCAAGAAAAATGCATCCCTTTAAATTCAATGTATGGATTCACACTGGTTTGTTGTGGTTCCCTTGTGGTGTTGAAAATCTTGCTTGCCGCATGTTCAGTGCATTTTTTGTCAGTTAAAAAAAAAGCACCAAAAACGCACCTTCCCATTGAGGCCTGGTTCATACCAATGCATTTTTTAGTGCTTTTTGCAGAAACACACTACAGCTCATTTACCATGGTTTCCTATGGGACTTTGATTTTGCATTTTTAATCTACCCAGCAACTAGTTGAGCAATTAAAAATTTAAAAAAGCAAAACACATCAGAAAAGTGTCAACAACATGAGTGAAAAACCGCAAAACGCACCGAAAAAGAGACAAAATGCAAACTGCTTTGGTGTGAATCAGGCCTGAAATGCAACAAGCTGGGCAATGAAAAATTTAAGAAAGCAAAACACAGCAGAAAAGTGTCAAAAATACGTGTGCAAAAATGCAAAACTCACCTCAAAACAGCCAAAACGCAAACTGCTTTGGCGTGAATCAGGCCTGAAATGCATTGAAAATGTGTCAAAATTGCATACAAAATGCACGCATGTTATGTTTTTGATGCATTTATGAGTCGCATGACCTATGAAAAACACACTCTAATTGTGGCAAAATCACAGCATAATAGTGGGTAAAATCACGCATTTTCAGTGGCCATTATCGGCACTTTTTTTTCCTGTCGGCAAAATACTGATAACAGTATTTTCGGCTGATACATTTCGGCCGCTGATAAATCGGTGCATCCCTAATTAAAATACAATTTGAAAACACTCCTTGCCTAGGTCCATGGGACTAACGCATTTCACCGCAATTCAGGGTGAAGCGCATGAAAGTCATGGACCCAGGAGGAGAGGGTTTTCCAATCATGTGTAAATAAAAGGACTGATATCGGTGTGCGGTGGCTGTATTTGTTTGCCCTTGTTGTGCTTGACTTCATCTGCTGGCCCCTGCATCATGACATAGAAGTGTCCTACCTGTTCTACTGACACTGGTCACCAGGACACGTAGGGAAGGTGAGTCTCCCTTTTCTAGTCTGAGTGCTGCTGCACAGAAGTATCACAGAAGGCCCATTCAGAGACATTTTTTTGTGTGTGTATGTAAAGGGTTAAAATCCTCATCCAGTCTTTATTGCTGCACATCCAGCTATATTCATGGATACATTTTGATTTTTTTAAAATTCTATCTAGTGTCTGAATCGGCCTCCTGTGATCCCCTGTACAGCAGCACTCAGACTGGACACATGAGAGCCAGCATGAAGCACACGTGTAGAGCACATATTCTAATGGTAAAAAAGAGCAGATTGATGATTCATCAGTGTGCTTCGGCTCAGGGGTGTCCTGAGGGTTGGTGTCACCCCTAGGATGGTGCAGTAACACTTGGTGACACCCCCTCCGACGATCCCCGCAGAATTGATCGGATTGAGCATAATGGATTGGACTCCGATCCATTATGCTCAGTCCGCAGATCCAATCCATCCATAGGGATCGTCAGCTTGCTTTACAACTTACCTTTTCGTGGAGCGCGTCCGGTGTCACCCCGTATAGGTTGCATGCCGATGATCCCCGCAGGATGGTTTGGATCTGCGGATTGAGCATAATGGATCGGATCCATCCATGGGGATTGTCGGCTTGCTTTACAACTTACCTTTTTGTGGAGCTGGTCTTGAGTCACCCCATATAGGTTGCATGCCGTGATCCCCGCAGGATGGTTTGGATCTGCGGATTGAGCATAATGGATCGGATCCATCCTGGGGATCGCCGGCTTGCTTTACAACTTACCTTTTTGTGGAGCTGGTCTTGAGTCACCCCATATAGGTTGTGATCCCCGCAGGATGGTTTGGATCTGCGGATTGAGCATAATGGATCGGCTGCGGGCATCGCCCTGCTTTACAACTTACCTTTTTGTGGAGCTGGTCCGGTGTCACCCCATGCGGTAGGTGACGCGCACCCCTCGCACCTACCTCGGGACGCCACTGCTTCAGCTTTTTCATTGTCCGGGAGATTGAATTCCTTTGCTAATTTTTTTTTTTATTTTTTATTTTTTATTTAATTTTTTACTGTTGTTGTTTTTTTCTTTGCAGATTCTAATACGAGTTCATGCCTGTGGTATAAATCCAGTGGAGACTTATATCAGGGCTGGTACTTATGCTCGGAAGCCAAATCTGCCGTACACCCCAGGCTCAGACGTTTCTGGGATAGTGGAAGAAGTAGGAACAAGTGTACGATTATTTAAGGTAAGAGTCACTTCTTAACCACTTGCCCTCCAGAAGATTTACCCCCCCCCCCCCTTCTTGGCCAGACCATTTTTTGCGTTAATTTAACTGACACTTGTGCGGTTATGCAACGCTGTACATAAATGACATTTGTGTCTTTTTTTTCCCCACAAATAGAGCTTTCTTTCGGTGGTATTTGATCACCTCTGCATTTTTAAAATTTTTTTGTGCTATAAACAAAAAAAGACTGAAAATTTTGAAAAATATTTTTGACTTTTTGCTATAATACATGTCCAATAAAAAAATATAAACAATCAAATTTCTTCATAAAGTTAGGCCAAAATGTATTCTGCTACATGTCTTTGCTAAAAATAAATCCCAATAATTGTATATTAATTGGTTTACGTGAAAGTTAAGCATTTACAAATGGCGGTATACTAGTACTATACTAGTAATGGCAGCGATCAGCGACTTATAGCGGGACTGCGGCGGGCATTCTGACACTGGGGGGAACTGACTAATAAAAAGCACTGACACTGTACTAATGACACTGGGCAGGAAGAGGTTAACATGAGGGGCGATCAAAGGGTTAACTGTGTGCTGTTTTGCTAGGGAGACATGCTGCTGTGCAGAGAGATACAAAGCAGCATGTCCATGCTGACAGGCGAGAGACCTGTGTTGTTTACACACAGATCTCTCTCCTGTCAGCTTTGCGACGGTCATGGAGTCCTGCCTGGGAATTGACAGCCGGGACCCCCCTACCCAGTAATGCAAACTACGTAAACTCTCTCCCTCTCTCTCTCCCTCTCTCTCTCTCTCTCTCTATATATATATATATATGTATATATGTATATATATATATATATATATATATATGTGATTTTGCGGAGCTGTGCCGCCCTGTAGCAGTACTTCCGCTATAGGGCGGAAGGCAAGTGGTTAAAGAAAAAATATAATTTATTATAATTATATTAGATGTCACTTAGAGCGGAACTTCACTCTCTCAATCAAAATGGACTATTTTTATTCCTTAGGCTCCATGTACACTGCAGCTAATAAACTCTCATTCAGGAGCTGTTCAGCATTTTTTTTTTTAATGCAGAAAACTTGCGTTCAGCAGTCGATTTTATCAGCGTTTCAAACGCAAAACGCTTGTAAACGTGGCACATAGCGTTTATAAGCATTTGCACATTTTTTTTTAACTCTTCCAGTTCCCAATGCTGTCCGGAGCTTTTTTTCATCATAAAAAAAAGCTTTTTTCAAGGTACTCAGATGGACAAAATACTGAACACAGGCTGTTGCTACCAAGCTTGTCACACATTGTAATGACCAATTCACTCCTTAGACCTCTCCCACCCTTGGAAACAAAAGATATGTTAATGACCATTCACACCTCAAATTCCTCATGAAGACCCCCTGCCAGGTGGCCTTAATGACTTCCTCCACCAGACACCTTTCCCACCCTTGGAAACAAAAGAAATGTTAATGAGCAAATCACACCTAAGCTAATGTCAACACATACTGCTGTCTCTGCTTCTACTCTCTGTATTTCTCTGAAACAGTCTGAAATAGTTTTAATAATAATTTACCACTTTTCAGTGCATTCTGGGCATTTGGGAGGATCTCCTGTGCTTATCTTTAAAAAATGCTTCTAAACACAAACGGGGGGTTCAAAGTGATTTCTTAGCAAAATAAAGCATGGAGACATGGATGGATGGAGGAGTTTGCTTTAAATCTTAAAAATGAATGAAACAGCGTTTTTGGTTTGTGGTTCTCAGATGCAGTGAAATTCCACTTTAAAGTAGACCTGAATGTACAGTATGTAAAGTGCTGTGTAAATTGTTGGCACTATATAAATATCTATAATGAGTTAAAAAAATTTAAATCAAAAAGTGAAGATTTTCTATTTTTTAGGGAGCATCTACAAATGTTCCGTGTGTCTAAGCAGTACCTTGAAAGCTTTACCTTATGTCCTTAAATTCCTTTTAAAATGTATCATTGTATTGTACTTCCTGTGCCTTCAGCCTTATAGCTATATATCTGCAGTATGAGATCATCTAAGGCACTGCTGCCTCTGGCTGCTATTCTCACCAATTTTGAAGTGAAAATTATTAATGACACTGTTGCGCTGCTCACTGTTTTCTTTGCTGGAGAGAAAGCTGTACCTGAGGACCTGCAGTGCAAGGATCCCCCTGCTAATGCTTTTTTCATTCCATGGATCTGTGCTTCCTTCACCTGTCCAGTTGCTTATTGAAAAACCCCCCCCCCCCCCCCAACCAGTCTTCAGGGGATAGCTCTGACATAAGGAAGAAAAGCCCTGCTCTGCTACAAAGATGGCTGCTTCCACACACAGATGCAGTGCAAATCCCAAGCCAGTCCCTGGGATCAGCTGACTATAGGCAAAACTGGTGACCAGTCGTTTACCCTCTGCTTGCCTTTTTTGGGCACAGCTTTCACAGTTCCAATTCCAACCACATTTTTTTCATTGCACCCAGGAAGAAATTGTTTCTGATGAGAGAGATTAGTGTTAGTGTTAAGAATTTCTCTCTGAGACATTTTTATAGTAAAATAAATGTATTCTTATATTACTTGTTTCAGAAAGGTGATCGTGTGTTTACCAGGTCAACCATTACAGGGGGTTACGCGGAGTACACACTGGCCTATGAATATACTGTTTACCAACTTCCGGAAAACCTCAGTTTTAAGCAAGGAGCCGCCATATCTGTCCCCTACTTCACCGCCTACAGAGCGCTCTTCCAGAAGTAAGTACAATGAAAGGCACAGTCTAATTTATTCAGCAAGGCTTTGAGTCCCTGATGCTCAAAGTGGAACTACACTGTATTCAGGCACCTCAAACCAAAAATGCCATTGAAATAATTTTTAATATTGACAGCAAACTCTCCCATCGATTCATGTCTTTACTTTATTTTTCTGAGAAATTACATTGAAAAACACCTCTCCAGCATTTCTGGCTATGGCCATCTTGAGTAAGGGCAGATGATTTATGTAGCATTTACTTCCTGGATCCATTTGCCCTTAGCTCAGGCATAGAGGCAGGAGGGCGTGCTTAGGTGAGAAAACCCATCCTCCCCTCCTGAAGACTCCTGGGATGTATGACATCATATGCCTAGGCCAGAACCCAGAAAGTAACTGAAGAAATGTAAAAAAAAAAAAAAAAAAAAAAAGGTTAAAACAAGTAAATATGATATACCTTCCTATCTACACTATATTGCCAAAAGTATTGGGCCAGCGCTCCAAATCATTGGATTCAGGTGTTCCAATCACCTCCATAGCCACAGGTGTATAAAATCATTACCTAGGCATGCAGGACTGCTTCTACAAACAGTTGAGAATTAACAATATAAATAATGATGTGCAGCGCTAAAATCGAAAAGGTGTATAAAAGGACTAACATATAAATCACTAAAATACGAAGTACAAAATTCATAGTATATATTAGGTCATATATGAGTTCATCAGGTGACTAAGGTGCTTGTTTTTTCTTGTGACTATCCTGGAACCGGTGGAGGTGCATCCAAGGGTATAAGCAATGCGCACTCACCAGAATGCGCAATTTAATGCGCGTATTAGTAATATATCCTCAATTGAGCGGGAAACAGCTGGAGTCATTGTATGAGACTCCCCTGGGGAGTATTGATTTCACAGCGATCCTAACCTCCAGAAAGGGAGCCTCCAGCGGGCTGCACCAACCTACCCCATAAAAGGGAACTCTGGATTACCCTGATTCAACCAACCCACATCTCAGGACCCATCTACCCATAGAGGGAGTGCCTAGGATTCCTGTCTCACCTCATGATGACCATTGATGACATCAGGATATATTACTAATACGCGCATTAGCTTGCGCATTCTGGTGAGTGCGCATTGCTTATACACTTGGATGCACCTCCACCGGTTCCAGGAAGTCACAAGAATAACAAGCACCTTAGTCACCTGATAAACTCATATATGACCTAATATATACTACGAATTTTGTACTTCGTATTTAAGTGATTTATATATTAGTCCTTTTATACACCTTTTCGATTTTAGCGCTGCACATCATTATTTATATTGTCTATTTAAAGGTTTTATTTGTTTACATTGTGCTTAGCTGCTCTCATTTTATTTGGTGCGCTCACATCCACTTGTCCTATCTATTTGTGAATTAAAGCGCAGTACCTTGATAGGTTGCTACCTGTGCAGTTAGTCCATCCGTGACATTTCCTTGCTACTAAATAAATGTGAATGTTTGACCATTCTTCCACAAGCACATTTGTGAGGTCAGGCACTGATGTCAGACGAGAAGGCCTGGCTCACAGTCTCCACTCTAATTCACCCCAAAGGTGTTCTATGGGGTTGAGGTCAGGACTCTGTGCAGGCCAGTCAAGTTCCTCCACCCCAGACTGGCTCATCCGTGTCTTTATGGACCTTGCTTTGTGCACTGGTGTGCAGTCATGTTGGAACAGGAAGGGGCCATCCCCAAAACTCTTCCCACAAAGCATGACATTGTCCAAAATGTCTTGGTATGCTGACACCTTAAGAGTTCCCTGCACTGGAAATAAGGGACCAAGCCCAACCCCTGAAAAACAACCCCACACCATAATCCCCCCTCCACCAAACTTTACACTTGGCACAATGCAGTCAGGCAAGTACCATTCTTTTGGCAACCAACAAACCCAGAGATGTCCATCGGATTGCCATACAGAGAAGCGTGATTGGTCACTCCAGAGAACACGTCTCCACTGCTCTCCATTAACAGTTGACCGTGGAATATTTAGTAGCCAGGAAATGTCACGGATGGACTTATTGCACAGTTGGCCACCTATCACAGGACCACGCTTGGAGTCACTGAGCTCCTGAGAGCGACCCATTCTTTCACAAGTGTTTGTAGAAGCAGTCTGCATGCCTAGGGGCATGATTTTATACACCTGTGTTCATGGAGGTGATTGGAACACCTGAATCAAATGATTTGGAGGGTTGGCCCAAAACTTTTGGCTATATGAGAGCTATTTTATCTGTCAAAGGATCTGTATTTCTGTCTATCCAATACTGAGATTTATGCAGCACTGCCAGACAGTAGTGCCTGTGACTTGAATTTTCACCTTTGCTGTTAAGTAATACTTGTCTTCGCTCCCAGTCTGGACAGTGAAGGAGAAGCATTAGCCTGATGACCTCAACTGTCTGACTTTGATTTTGCAGCAGTTTTTAAAATCATTTGTTTTCATTATGGAATTTTCTTCCCCTGCAGAGCACATGGCAGACCTGGAGAGCTGGTCTTGATACATGGTGCAAGTGGAGGGGTGAGTAGCAGAGTGAATATGTATCTCATGGTAGCCATACACAATAAGATCAAGGCACCCATCCTGGATTGGGTAAAGATCAGGGGCGGACTGACAACTCATGGGGCCCCCGGGCAATAGGGGATCATGGGGCCCCTGTGTCCTTGCCCAAACTCAAAAAAGCCTATGAAAAAGGTACCAGGGGCATCTCATGGGGCCCCCTACTGACCCCGGGCCCTCGGGCATTGCCCGAGTTACCAAATGGTCAGTCCGCCCCTGGGTAAAGTATACCTGTCCTGGCCAAAAATTTCTATGTGAGTAACAGTGCTGAAGCTGGTGGAGCGTATGGTTATTACAAACATATTTATAATTATTCACATTCTTCTCAGCTTTCTGTAAAGAGCCCCCTTGGATATTTGTCCCAGACTTTAGGGACCCTAACTTCTGCCCATGTCAAGATTAAGCCTGGCCTATCCTGGAAGCCCACTTGATCTTTAAATTCTCAAAATGTAGAACTTTTACTGCCTACTAATGCTCTGGAATTGTACAGTTGAATGAAAGAGGCGAGGCTTTATGTTAAGCAGGGGTTGGGATTCAGCTTGACTTTGGCAGAAGTCAAGGCCCCTAAGCCTAAGACCCCTAAGACCCCAGGTGGTTTAAAGGAACAAAGGGATTGATTTGAAGTTTATCACAAGTATGTACACGCACCGCAAGGTTCCTGTGCTGTTAGTTCTTTGGAAACATTTTTGAGCTTCAAAAGGAGCTTCAGCCAGGTTTCTAAAAATTAAAAGCCAGCAGCTAAAAAAACTGTAGCTGCTGACTTTTAATAAACAGACACTCACCTGTCCAGGGATCCAGCACCGTCCACTCCAGGGCCAGTTCTTTGCTGGTTTTGGGTCCCCGGCACCAGCATGTTAACTGTGGGAAGCCAGCTGTGACTCCTTGTGGCTTCACAGCTGGCCCCCCACTGCGCATGCGTGAACCACGCTGCACCCTGTGAATGGTTCCGCAACCTCCTGGGACCTGTAATGTGATACCAGAAGGTTGCGGGCAGGGAGGGGGGCCAAACTTCCACTTGGATCGCCTAGGCCAGGGGTAGGCAACCTGCGGCTCTCCAGCTGTTGCAGGACTACAAGTTCCATCATGCCTCTGCAAGTCATAACTGTAACTGTCAGTTTTGTAATGTTGCAATGCCTCATGGGAAATGTAGTTCCACAACAGCTAGAGAGCTACAGGTTGCCTACCCTTGGCCTAGGCAATCCAAGCAGAAGTGGGAGCAAACCCAAAAAATATTCCAAATATGGCAGAAAGAGAGGGGAGGAGGAGGAAGAGCTGAACTTGGGTGAAGTTCTGCTTTACGTTCGCTTTAACAGGTTTTTCAGTTTAATTCTGATGGTCTGATATCTAATTTGCTGTTTATTGCGGAAGAACATGTATAAGTTGTTTAGCAACATTTCACTCTGGCAGTTTATGCAAAGCTTCAGCTAACAATGTGGCTGAATTTATTTTGTGCCATCAGCATTTGAACTTTAGAAAAATACCGTATTTTACAAATTTTGTGTATTATATTGTCTGACAGGTGGGGATAGCTGCGTGCCAGATTGCCAGGGCCTACGGGTTCCGGGTATTTGGGACAGCCGGAAGCCCTGAGGGGTTAAATTTGGTCCTACAGAATGGTGCTCACCAAGCCTTCAACCACAGAGACGAGGATTATATAGAGAAGATCCAGGTAAGGTCCTATTACACTCTAATTTGTATAGTAATATAGAGGAGTAGTCACTTTCCTTTCCTTGAGAGCTAGCAAACTCATTGACTATTTATACACAGACACTAATTGCAATTTATACAGCCACAGATGTGGAAATGTAACCTTTATGTAGGCCATAGATGGGATGAAAAACGGCCGAAAATCAGGCGGAAAAAAAAAAATCGACCAATTTTCGGATCGTTAGTGCGGTAATCGGTTGGCCGTTTTTAGTGATTTTTGCATCTGTATCCAAAATGGATACAAATAGATACAATGTTGCAACTTTTTCTTCTTATTCATATTCTATTTCTTCTTCTTCTGCATATTCTATTTCTTCTTTTTATTCATATTCTATTTTTCTTCTTCATATTCTATTTCTTCTTTTTATTCATATTTCTTCTCTATTTCTTCTTCTTCTGCATATTCTGTTTCTTCTTTTTATTCATATTCATATTCTATTTCTTCTGCTTCTGCATATTCTATTTCTTCTTCATATTCTATTTCTTCTTTTTATTCATATTCTAGATACTCCAGGCAGGTGGTGCCATGGTTGGGATTCAAACCAATGACCTGAGTACTGCCAGGCGGAGGTGCTAACCATTTAGCCACTCTGCTGCCCTTTGTTGCTATACAGTCATGGCTGCCATCTTCTTGGTCCATGTCAAGCAGCTGTCATGCTGCATAGTTGCTATTCAGCCAGCGCTTTAAATATATATTGTACATTCACATCAGTCCCTGCCCTCAAGGGGCGTACAATCTAAGGTCCCTAACTCACATTCATACATACACATACTAGGGCCAATTTAAAAGGGAGCCATTTAACCTACCATCATGTCTTTGGAGTGTGGGAGGAAACCGGAATACCCATATGAAACCCACACAGGCACAGGGAGAACATATAAACTCCATGCAGGTAGTTGGTATTTGGTATCAGAAGGCTTTATAATTCCTCGATTTGATATGCAATCATAAGAATCCTGGTCATTAGTCCTATTTTCAGTCGACTAAAATAGAAAGCTGAATGTAATTATAATTTACATAATAAGCATTCATTGATGGATGGTGCCACTAAATATTCTGTGTTTTGTTACATAGGAAGCAGCTGGAGGAGAAGGAATTAATGTCATACTAGAAATGCTCTCTAATGTAAACCTGAATAATGACCTGAAAGTTCTGTCCATTGGAGGCAGAGTCATTGTAAGTACGATCACCTTTCAAGCATCCACACTCATAATAAATGTTGTTCTAGGCTAAGTTTGGATCGATGTAAGTATACATGTGCCATGCCTGTGTGACTGTTTTTGAAGCAGAGAATCACTACAGTAGTTTTTTTTTTATTTATTTCAGGTACTTATAAAGAGCCGTCAATTTACACAGCGCTTTACATATATATTGTACATTCACATCAGTCCCTAACCCTCAAGGGGTGTACAATCTAAGGTCCCTAACTTACATTCATACATACACATACTAGGGACAATTTAGACAGGAGCCAATAAATCTACCAGCATGTCTTTGCAGTGTGGGAGGAAACTGGAGTACCTGGAGGAAACCCACACAGGCACAGGGAGAACATGCAAACTCCAGGCAGGAGGTGCCATGGTTGGGATTCAAACCCTAGTACTGCCAGGCGGAAGTTCTAACCATTTAGCCACTGTGCTGCCCTTTGTTGCTATTCAGTCATGGCTGCCATCTTCTTGGTCCCATGTCAAGCAGCTGTCATGCTGCATAGTAACCTCAAGGGCTTGCTCACTTGGAACAGGCACCATTCACAGAACACCTCGCATTTTTGTCAATGAATGCAAGGCATTATCTGATTGGACAAGGAGGAGTTTGTGACATCATCACCCCATCCAACTTGAAAAGACCTTGCATTAAAAAATGTGTTCTGTAAATGGCGCCCGGATAACAGTGGTGATCAGTGTAGTAGGGTGGAACATGTAACATGCTCCCATAGCTGCAGCCGCACCTGTCACCCTCTCCCTCTGACAGACAGTACAAGGAAACTTGTATTATCTCTGTACTATCTGTCAGATTTTCTTTTAAAACAGCATGGCCGTGCGGGGCTCCGCCCACAAGACCGCATCCTTCATTCACAGAGTTCCGTAAATGAGTGCCTACAAGTTCCGGCAGTCTTAGCAGCTGTGGGCTTGTAGTTCTCAGTGATCTACCATAGTGCTGTAGAGTGCCGTGGTAATTCATTGAAGCTTCCTGTCAGTATATCTGCTTGACTGTACATCCCGTACATCCCATACATCTCGTATTCCCCGTACACCCCGTACATCTCTTACACCCTGTACATCCCGTACACTCGTACATCCCATGCATCCCGTACACTCGTACATCCCATACATCCCGTACATCCTGTACATCCCGTACACTCGTACATCCCATACATACCGTACACTTGTACATCCTGTACATCCCGTACACTCATACATCCCGTACACTTGTACATCTCCTACATCCCATACATCCCGTACACTTGTACATCCCACACATCCCGTACACTTGTACATCCCATACATCTAGTACATCCCATACATCCCGTACATCTCGTATTCCCTGTACATCCCATATACATCTTGTACACACCCTGTACATCCCGTACATCCTGTACACCCTGTACATCCCGTACATCCTGTACACCCCGTACATCCCATACATCTCGTACGCCCCATACACACCCCGTACATCCTGTACATCCTATACATCTCGTACGCCCCATACACCCCGTACATCTCGCACACCCCATACATCCCATACATCTTGTACACCCGTACATCCCGTACATCCTGTACACCCTGTACATCCCGTACATCCTGTACACCCCGTACATCCTATACATCTCGTACGCCCCATACACCCCGTACATCCTGTACATCCTATACATCTCGTACGCCCCATACACCCCGTACATCTCGCACACCCCATACATCCCATACATCTCGTATGCCCCATACACCCTGTACATCCTGTACATCCCATACATCTCGTACACCCCATACATCCCATACATCTCGTACGCCCCATACACTCCGTACGCCTCATACATCCCATACACCCCGTACATCCCATACACCCCATACATCTCGTTCATCCTGTACATCCCCATACATCTCTTACGCCCCATACATCCCGTACATCCAGTACACCCTGTACATCCCGTAAATCTTGTACATCCCGTACATCCTGTAAATACCATACATCTCATACATCCCGTACATCCCATACATCCTGTATATCCCATACATCCCATACACCCTGTACATCCCATATATCCAGTACACCCTGTACATCCTGTACAGCAAGCAGATATTCTGACAGGTTGGCAGGAGACCTGCATGGCACCAGCGATCTACTAATCACTGGTGCAATGCTTTCCAGGCTCCTTTGGACAAAAATAATAAATATACATTTTTTTTACCTGAAAAAAAAATATGGGCATTTATTATTTTTGTCCAAAAGGTGAACTTATTCTTTAACTCTAAAATATCTTAGCAACAAATAACAGGACATATCTGTCTGCAGGAGAGCCTGTTCTCAATATATGCATTACTATATATGAACCTGAACACAGACAGTGTGCTTTCGGGGCTGTGCACCTCTCCCTACACACCTGTCAATCTCAGATATGCAGGTGAGTCTGTACAGACTGCTGTGTCTCCTCTTCCTAACATAGGCTGACTGCACGCAGTGCCACACTGCCAAACAAAGGGCTCTTGCACACTGTATGGGCATTTGCACCTATGTGAACAAACCTTTAGGGATTCTGATTTTCAGAGATGCCTTAATGTGGCAGTGTGACTTATCTGTAACAGGTGAAATACATGCAACAGAAACCTCTAGTTTTATCCTGAGATGCTGCAGTATTCAGTATTTGATCATTTTTTCTGATTGAAAATATTTGGTGTTGGAGATCCCCCCACTTCCTTCTGCCCCCCCCCCCCATACATTTCTATTGGTCCATCACTATAATGCACTGCCTCACAAGCCAATAGGATTGTGTAGAGCCATTTTAAACGAGAAGTGCAGGATTACAATAAAACAAACAATTATACTCACTTATATCAGTTCAATGCTGCATCTGTCCCCTGCTGGTTCTTAGAACAAGAATTAAGCAATCACGTGATTTATTGTTCTTCACTGAACAGAGAGCTGTTAGTCACCAGTTTCTCTGCTCCTCCAGCGCTCACTGGAACGGCTGTCAGCGGCTTGCTGAGAGGCTGAGCCAGCTGCCGGTCCAGGCATCTGGGTGGATCCCGACAAAATGGTCGGGATCTTTTCAGAGCCTGGAGCAGCTCCATGATGTCAGCCAACAACGGGCTTTAATCCACTGGCCGTTGAAAGGAAAGCAGAACTAAGTGCACTCCTCTGAGCTTTGGCCATTCTTCTCCTTTACGGCAAAAAGTCTAAGGGTCACCGTACATGCTACAATTTTTGTACAATCAACTTTGGATTTGTTGGTAGGTCTAATGGAGATTGTGCAATCAGATTGAACCTTTGTGGTAAGCTAAGGCAAGCCAAAGATTATATGGTTTTCCCGTGGTTGCAGGAAAAAATATTGTTCATATTCCCCATCAACACAGTCAGTCCTTCCCGCAGTGCTGTTGTGTTCTGCCAGCGGGGAGCCTTCCCTGCTGGTAGAACACAACGATCACTGCTGGCACCTATAGCTGGCAGCATGAAAAAAATCTAACAAGCTGGTTGTACTGAAGTCGATCAACCAGTACAACCAATCTGCCCATAGATGGATCAAACCTTGCCCTAACCCTGCTGAACCGGCTGAGGTTTGATCGATCTGTGGCCAGCTTTAGTTCAGAAAAGCACCAGGAGTGTTAGTATTATTACTATTGGAGTAATAGAATGGCATAATAAAAACCATTTATAGTATATATAGATAAATGAGATTTTTTGCTGTACTCTTTACTTTCACACCAGATCATTGGCTGCAGAGGACCAATTGAAATAAACCCCAGAGACACCATGGCCAAGGAGTCCAGCATCATCGGAGTGTCACTCTTCAGCTCCACTAAGGTAACTGATAAAGGCGGACATGGGATTTTCATGATTCTAAATATCTTTAAAGGGATTGTATAGCATGCTGCAATCTCCATTCATTCCTATGGAACCACCACAGGAACATCCATACGGATTAAAGGAGACTGTAAAGTGTCTTTGAAGAAGACACAGGCAACTTTAAAGGATAAGTTCACCTGTGGGAACGTTACATGTTCCATCCGTTTTTTAGGGTGGAATATGTTAACATGTTCCCACTCCCGCAGCCGCCGACTGCTCCACTGTATGTGGTCACAGCTGGAAGGGGATCTTCTCCCCCCGCTATCACTATTAAAAAAAAAAAAAAAAAAAACGGCCGTGTGGTGATCCGCCCACCCGACAGTGTCACTCATTCACAGAATTCTGTGAATGGCAAACTACAAGTACCGACAGCCTTTGTGGATATCAGCTTGTAGTTCTCAGTTAACTAGATCTACTGATCGCGGGTGCAATGCTTTACAGGCTCCAAACAAAATAAATAAATGCACATTTTTATACCAGCAAAAAGATGTGTATTTATTTTTCTTAAAAAGGTGAACATGTCCTTTAAGTGTGCCCCACAAAAAAAGAAAAAAGATTTCAGTCGCATGGAAAAATCTAAGTATGAAATTTGGAAGGGGTGCTGGAGGATGGCGTTGGAGCCTAAAATAGATAGCTGTTTTAAATGTACAATTGTCAGTGGAACTAAACTGTATCTGAGCACCACAAACCGAAAACACAATTTAATTCATTTTTAATATTTAAAGTGTTACTAAACCCTGGACCCTGTATTCATTATATCTGGTCTCCCTGGACCCTGTATTCATTATATCTGGTCTCCCCGGACCCTGCATTCACTATCTCTGGTCTCCATGGACCCTGCATTCACTATATCTGGTCTCCACGGACCCTGCATTCACTATATCTGGTCTCCCTGGACCCTGCATTCGCTATATCTGGTCTCCACGACCCTGCATTCACTATATCCGGTCTTCCCGGACCCTGCATTCACTATATCTGGTCTCCCCGGTCCCTGCATTCACTATATCTGGTCTCCCAGGACCCTGCATTCACTATATCTGGTCTCCCCGGACCCTGCATTCACTATATCTGCGCTCCCTGGACCCTGCATTCACTATATCTGGTCTCCCAGGACCCTGCATTCACTATATCTGGTCTCCGGACGGACCCTGCATTCACTATATCTGGTCTCCACGACCCTGCGTTCACTATATCCGGTCTCCCCGGACCCAGCATTCACTATATCTGGTCTCCCAGGACCCTGCATTCACTATATCTGGTCTCCCCGGACCCTGCATTCACTATATCTGGTCCCGAGGACTCTGCATTCACTATATCTGGTCTCCCCGGACCCTGCATTCACTATATCTGCGCTCCCTGGACCCTGCATTCACTATTTCTGGTCTCCCAGGACCCTGCATTCACTATATCTGGTTTCCCCGGACCCTGCATTCACTATATCTGGTCTCCCAGGACCCTGCATTCACTATAGCTGCTATCCCAGGACCCTGCATTCACTATATCTGGTCTCCCACAGTACACACAACATGGAAATGCAATTATTTTAGTAAATATAAACTGCTAAATACCTTTTCTCATCAGCAGTATATAGCAGTCTTGTGACTTTTACCAGTGTCCAGTCCAGCACTAGCTAAAGCTTGTAGGAGGATTTTTCTTTCTGCTCTAGGAAGATGCAGAACCCCTGACCTCTGTCTCAACAGTGCTGATTGGCCCTGTGCTGATCACATGCACTCTCCCAAGGAAAAAAGAAAACAACTCTCTAGCAACACACCAAACTGATACATCTTATCAGGAGATAAGAGGGGAAACAGGAAGAAGGGGAGGATCAGAGAAGTCAGGATCAAACAGCATTTTTAAACAAGGATTAGCCCCTTAGGTTCCACAGTGAGTATAACAAGCATGTTTTACTGCATATACAGACTGATTTTACTGTTGTGGGTTTAGTAACACTTTAAAGCAAACTCACCCAAGATTGTAACAGCTGGGGTCTGATTCTGCGTGTTTATTATTTATTCATTTCAGGTACTTATATAGCGCTGTCAATTTACACAGCACTTTACGTAAGAGTAGGGCCCTCTTACCCCTCGTACGCTGTCTGTCTTTGTTGTACTGTGCCATGTATTGTCCCCCCCTATTGTACAGCGCTGAGCAAACCCTTTGGCGCTATATAAACTCGTAGTAATAATAATAATAATAATAATATATTGTACATTCACATCAGTCCCTAACCCTCAAGGGGTGTACAATCTAAGGTCCCTAACTCACATTCATACATACACATACTAGGGACAATTTAGACAGGTTCCAATTAACCTACCAGCATGTCTTTGGAGTGTGGGAGGAAACCGGAGTACCCGGAGGAAACCCACGCAGGCACAGAGAGAACATGCAAACTCCAGGCAGGTGGTGCCGTGGCTGGAATTCGAACCAACGACCCCAATACTGCCAGGCGGAAGTGCTAACCATTTAGCCACTGTGCTGCCCCAAGTTAGAGGAAGCAAGTGTGTCCAGTTAGGATGAGAATGAACTTCTGTAGACAGAGGTGGTCAGGTTAGGACAGGACAGGGGAGAGATTTTGTCAGAGGTGGTCAGTAGCAGAACAGAGAAGTGAAGGGTTCAAGTGGTGAGGCTTTCTATGAGCAATGGTTTGCTGCTTGGAGGGATAGGTGGTCCAAGACAAGGACACTGAAACTGATGAGGTTTTGATCAGAGAGAGCAAAAGGGGTATGTGGGTGAGGTTGCCAGGAGTGTGGAGATAAGAGGATACAAGGTCAGAGTGGAAGTCTGTGTCCATTGTGTCAAAAGATGAGGTTAAGTTGAGAAGTAGCCAGGCTGTTAACATTGCCAGGGATGATAAATCCACCAAGAACAAAAGAGGGCATTAAAGGTGGAAAAAGTTCTAAAATGATTTATCTTTGTCTCATTTTTTTACATCACAGAAACCTGACATTTTAACAGAGGTGTGTAGACTTTTTATATCCACTGTATTAATGTAAAGCAAAATGATTGGCAATTAGTATATTAAATTTGAATTAATAATTATTGTATAACTTTATGGTGGGACTATTTATTATTAACCCCTTCACGCCTAATGGTAAAACAAATCTTAATGCCTAAGCACAATTTTGCAACGTTGACATGTGTTAGTAAAACCGTACATATCATCACCACTACTTTGTACATCCAGGTGAATTATACCGCGTTTTTTTTCAAGACAAATTGGGTTTTCATTTGGTGGTAAATGGTAATAGATATCTCCTGATTTTGTTTTTTATTATCAAAGGAAATCTGGCCCAACATAGTAAAAAAAAGATAATGTTTTTTAATTTAGCTGTGTGTTTCTTGTTACTAGCATAACCTACCACCAAAGAACAACCCAAAATAAATAACTTCCCACCAAAGAACAAATCCAAAATAAATACCTTCTCACCAAAGAACAAACCCAATATAACCTCCCACCAAAGAAAAAAAACCCCAAATAAATAACCTCCCTCCAAAGAACAAACCCAAGATAACCTCCCACCAAAGAAAAAAAAAAACAAAATAAATAACCTCCCGCCAAAGAAACAAACCCAAAATAAATAACCTCCCGCCAAAGAACAAACCCAAAATACCTCCCTCCAAAGAACAAACCCAAAATAAATAACCTCCCGCCAAAGAAACAAACCCAAAATACCTCCCGCCAAAGAAACAAACCCAAAATACCTCCCGCCAAAGAAACAAACCCAAAATAAATAACCTCCCGCCAAAAAGAAACAAACCCAAAATACCTCCCGCCAAAGAAACAAACCCAAAATACCTCCCGCCAAAGAAACAAACCCAAAATACCTCCCGCCAAAGAACAAACCCAAAATAAATAACCTCCCGCCAAAGAAACAAACCCAAAATAAATAACCTCCTGCCAAAGAAACAAACCCAAAATAAATAACCTCCCGCCAAAGAAACAAACCCAAAATAAATAACCTCCCGCCAAAGAAACAAACCCAAAATACCTCCCGCCAAAGAAACAAACCCAAAATACCTCCCGCCAAAGAACAAACCCAAAATAAATAACCTCCCGCCAAAGAAACAAACCCAAAATAAATAACCTCCTGCCAAAGAAACAAACCCAAAATAACCTCCCGCCAAAGAAACAAACCCAAAATAAATAACCTCCCGCCAAAGAACAAACCCAAAATAAATAACCTCCCGCCAAAGAACAAACCCAAAATAAATAACCTCCCGCCAAAGAACAAACCCAAATAAATAACCTCCTGCCAAAGAAAACAAAATAACCTCCCGCCAAAGAACAAAAAATAAATAACCTCCCGCCAAAGAAAAAAACCCAAAAAAATAACCTCCCGCCAAAGAAACAAACCCAAAATAAATAACCTCCCGCCAAAGAAACAAACCCAAAATAAATAACCTCCCGCCAAAGAAACAAACCCAAAATAAATAACTTCCCGCCAAAGAAACAAACCCAAAATAAATAACTTCCCGCCAAAGAAACAAACCCAAAATAAATAACTTCCCGTCAAAGAAACAAACCCAAAATAAAGCTTCTTGACATACCATATATGTGTATGTTATTTGTTGTTTGTACCCCTAGTACAGCCCAGAAACAATAGTGCGCATTTTGTTTTTGTTTTGTTTATCTAAAACACACTGACACCATTTTTTTTTTTAAATCATGACTTTTTACCCTGACCTTTTGACCTTAACCTTTGACCCTGACCTTGACCCAAACACCCTGGCACTGAACTAGATCAAACCTATGTAATCTATGTACTTTTTTAAATTTTTTCTTTTCTTTTTTTTAATATTTATTTATTTATCTTTTTTTTTTTTTTTACAAACATTTTTTTTTTTTCCGTCTATGCCAGGAGTTAGAGAGATACAATGTATCTCTCTCCTCCATTCATAGAGAAAAAAAAAAACAAGGGGGCCGGGCTGCACAGTGACTGATCACTTTGATAGCC